AACACAAAACGGTAGAAGAACAGTAGCATCTTGCAGCACACGTTTAAGGGGTATGATTCGGGGGTATGATTCGGGGGTGTGATTCGGGGGTATGATTCGGGGAGGTCCCACCTTCTGCCTTTTGAAGCAACTCAACACACCAAAAAAAGACAAACCCATATATATATATATATACATTGGGCGGCCCGTTTTGGGGGGTCCGCGTCAAAGGCGGTGAGCCCACCTTGCGAGCGAACCAGCCAAAAGATCGGCATTTGTTTCGGCCAGCAACTTTTGGTAATACGAGTCTACCACAAGACCAACGCACTGGGGCGAGTTTTGTCCGACCAGCGCAATACAAATCCAAAATCCAAATCCCCGGGCCACGAAGTCAAACCACCAATTCAGGGTGATACAACTGAACTATTGGGAACTCCCGACCAAAAAACCGAAAAAAGTGTCCAACTTGTGCTTGCAATGCCGGGGGCCCAAAGGACCCGGGGACTGATCCTCCCATTCTTGCGACACCCGGGCCCCTGGAGCTCATTTTGCTAGGACAAGGCAGAAACATGATGACAAGTGCTCACAGCATTCTGAAAAAAGAAGAAAACAAAAGGGATGGGAATCTTCGATGTGAACAAGATTCAGCAAATGATGGGAGCAAGGAGAGGGCGCCTCCAACTGGGGGGTAAAAAGAACAGCGAAACCTTCAGCTCGTACTCTCCAACCAGGGAGCGCACGTTTGATTCTGGATTCTGGTTCATATTCAGCGAACCTAGCCACGTAAGATAATTTCAAAAAATGCATCAAACAACATGAACCCATCTAACAACGCTTCATTGCCCCCCCCCCCGGAGAGAAAAACAACAACAACAACGAGGGTGTTGACTTGCGCTCTCGCAAGGTGTCCTCCATCTGCTTCACATAGGACTGCATGTCTTTCAGGCGCTGTTGCCGTGCGAAGGCGTCCTCAGGGTGTCTTTATTTTGCTTGCTTGCCTTCTGAATTGCGGTTTCATGAAAGTGCCCCGCCTCAACAACCCCAACGAAGAACAAAAAAAAAAAAAACAAAAAAAAAAAAAACATGGTTGTTCCTTTTGACTTCCCTTTTAAACCAATCAAACAACGGTGCCCTCAAATAAAAAGACACACACACATATGCGCAAAGGGCGTCTCCAAGTACCCCACCAACTAACTTCTGATCGAGTGGATTGGCAGAAAAAGTAAGCAAACTTTTATGTGTGCCACTGAGCATAAAGTTTAGAAACTCATAAGCCCTGAAGGATGATTGAGCTATGTACCCTGGGTGGCCCCTGTACCCTTGCATGCGGGATGGTATGCAACCGACAGACTCATTTGTTGTATGTGAGCAGGAATGGGCTTGGCATTTTCGGACCTTGTTTAAGGTACCAATGGTCCATCCAAGAATTCTGGCAACGCTGCAGGCCTTGATCTCTTGAACCATACGGGGGGCCGCGGGTAGCTGTGCCCCCCTTTCAGTATGGCCTAAACATAAAGCCTTCTTCAAAGGAAACCACGGGCCGAGGCTTGGATCAAACGAGAGGTACGCCTTCCGTTGGCCTGCTCCATAAGAAAACGGCATGTTCATGGAAGCCAAACAAGAAGCCAGGGAAACGCCAAAGGCGCAAATCAGGTTCTAAAGTGGACCTTATGCCAACTAAAAACTCATAAACTCCATGGTTGATTCATACGCGGCCCATCCCTCCTAATCCATCCAGTGCTTTTTCGGAGGAACAACCCGACTCCTAAAAAATCCGAGAGGTTCGTTCATCTAGTGTCGAAATGACTTAGGGGCTCTCCGAAGGCTCGAGAACCCCCCCCCAAAAAAAAAAAAACGCCTCGGCCGCACGCGGAGCCCGCCTCATAGAGATCTTTATGGCACTTCTCCCAGGCCCTGTCAAAGTCCTGACACTGTACGCAGACTCGCTTTTGGACCCAGGTGTGACTTTGAAACCGCCAGTTGGCGGTTTATGTGGGATACCTCCAAGAATGAAAAACCCTAGGCCCTCCTTACCCAAGGCAAGGCTCGTCCAACCTGCTGATCCTTGAGATTGAAGTGCTCGGACGCTGGGAGATCAGAGTTTGCTTAACCTACACAGACACACACACACACACATCGGCTTTCTCCCGAGCTTTGCATGGGAAGGGAAGCATCCCCCTTCCAGCAAAAGGTTGTGAAGGGAATTCTTGAACGTTTGAAGATTTCTCATTTTTGCTCGCGCTCTTGAACTTGGGGTGGCGTTGAAAGGGAAACGAAAGGAAAACAACCACTTTGGGTGTTTCCCTCAAAAAAAAAGTTCCCCCCCCCCCCCAAATTGATTCAGAGCCATAGCAGGACCGTGGATGCTCTTTACTGCCATGGCTCCCCTTGCTATGGCCCTCGGAATATGAACCACTCCCACTTGAACATCACAAGGAACCCCAAAGCCGCTTATGAAGTTGCCTCTGTCGCCTTCTCTTCTGGCGATCCCTCCCCCCACCATGTTTCGTGTTCCATATGTACGTGTTCCATATTTCCCAATGGCGCCCCCGCACCCATGCCCGTCGCGCCCGCATTCGCGCCGTCCCGCGCATTCTGGCGCGCCTTCTGCGGCGCGGGGCGGGGGCTGCGCCGGCGCCGCTCGGGCGGAGGGCTCTCGGACTGGCCCTTGAGGCGCTGGGAGTACTTGGGCACCTCGGGGCTTCGGGCTTTTGGCTTCGACCGTGGCGCTTTCGCGCTTTCGGGTTTTGGGGTTTTGGGGGGGTTGGGCCCCGGGTTGGGTGGGGGAGGGGGTTGGGGTTGGGGGGGTTTAGGGCGGTTGGTTCAGAACAGCCCGCCATCAAACAACCAGGCTCTTGCAAAGGTGACCTGCCCTACAGTGCACCCATCTTACAGGGGGGGGGGGGGAACTCCAACAATCTTCCTTCAAGAGGACAAATTATCTGTGAATTTATCTCCGGGGGTCCAAATCCCGCCTCCCAATCAATCAAATACTTGTTCATGAAGTGGGGATATGGCCGTTTCTCCGCATAGTCTACCAGATCCAGGTCTGCTGGCCCTGGGAAAATGCTTTTCACCCCATGCCGCTGAGGAAAGACAAGCTGAAGACGCCATCCGTGTGTCTCACTTTCTGAGTGGACTGGCTAAACAAGTCCAACCCATTGGCCACTCACAGAAAGTGGTAACCCGAAGAAAAAGCTTTGACCTGACCTGCTCACACTGGCCACAAGAGGTGCGAACTTGCTTCAGCGTGTGGAGAAATGATAGGTCTACCCACAAAAAGCTCAAAGCTTGGAAAAAACTGTTCCACCAGCTTAAAATGATGGCACAACTCCCTTTTCTGTGGGCAACAGCGCCAAAAACCAAAAAAAGAAAAACACATTGGACCAGCAAGTTCACCCACTCTGACTTCCGGATTTTCAACCACTTTCTTGCCCACCTCCCCGAGGTCGCTTCTTCTTTTTCGGCCGGACCGACGAAACCCCGGCCCCTGAGGGGCGGGCAGTCAAGGGGCAGCCCAGCAGCCCAGTGGTGCGATCGTTGTAGATCTGCGCGTCGCTCGCCACCTGCGCGAGGCGCCGCACTGCAGCTAGCTCCCGGGCGGCGGTTCCCAGCACGTGCGGTAGGCTGACCCAAAGGCTCCCGGGGGTGAAAAGAAAATCCCGCACTAGGGGGTTACCTTATGATAGGGTCATTGGAATGAGAAGCCAATGTCTGGCATGCCCATAGAAAAGGGGGCACCTTAGCAATTGAACCCCCTTCATAGTAACCACAATTGTAAGGTCGCGAAAGGCTAAGGGGACCTGGCAAACCCTGATCTACACGGCTTCAAGAAGCAACAACCGTGGGGGTGTTTAATCAGACTGTGGGCCAACCGATGCACCGACCAAAATCGGTGTGCACCATCTCCGGGAAGCTTAGTTGGAAGCCCCCGCAACTGCCCTTTTTAAAGCCCCCCACCCCCCATCCCAACCCCGCCCCCCCCCCAAGGAGGGGCTTGTTCAGGAGGAGCTCGATTGCGCGCCCTTGACCCCCCAAAGAAGAATTGGCCTACCGGGCGATACGCGTCGGACGGTTTGACCGGACACTCTTTCATTTGTCACAGAAGCAACGCTACCGGAATAGGTCTCGCCTCACGTGGCATTGGCTTTCATGCTGGAAGCCCATTGGCCATTGTAATCGGCCAACATGCCCCAATCAACCGCTTCCACAGTGAACGCTGACTTCGTTCTGATCATTTATGCGGACTGCGAGCAGGCACTGGCAACCCCAAAGGGTGAAGAAAACCAAAAAGAGGCACGTATCAAAATAGGGGTACCCAAAAAAAGGTTATTCCTCGTTGTTTCCCTTTACACCATTCAAATACCAGTTTAAAAGGAACCATGAGAACCCCAAAAAAAACACAGATCGGCACAAAACAAGAGCAACACCCAAAGCACTGTTCTGCGAGCTCTTTTTGGGGCATCCGGTCTTTCAACTAAATGGACTTCTCTCAGCCACCGTGAGGGGACCAGGACCATTTTTAGTGGCGGCCAGTTGGTGCAAACCCAACGGCACAAATCCGACTCCCGCCTGAGACATTGGCTTCAACGTCTCCTCAGGCTTGTCGGGTTGCGATTCCACCTGGCGGATGAAGCAGCTGCGACTCAGCTCCTAAGGACCAGAGCAAAAGGCATTACTTGCATTGCTAACGTCCCCAATTCTTTCTATCCAACCCCAATGTGTTTGACATCATCATTTACCTCTTGGCTTTGGGCCCAAACTACGGCTCGAGCTGCACACAGAGTTTCATCATGAGCCCCTTGGGCAAATGGAAGTGGACAGGCCGCCTTGTTGGACCACTTCCATTGGGAGGAGTCACTCAGTTGCCTTGCCCTTGGCGAAAAAAACTGCACCCGAAATCGAGAAGGGTCAAGCCCAGTCGACCTTCTCAGGTGTTAAAATGTCCAACGCACCCTGCTATCCCAAAGAAAGAAAGAAGAAAAGAAGGAAACAAGGAAAGAAGGAAGGAAGAAAAGAGGGAAAGAAGGAAGAAAGGAAAGAAGGAAAGAAGGAAATAAGGAAAGAAGGAAAGAAGGAAGGAAGCAAAGAAGGAAAGAAGGAAAGAAGGAAAGAAGGAAAGAAGCAATGAAGGAAGGAAGGAAAGAAGGAAAGAAGGAAAGAAGGAAGGAAGGAAGGAAAGAAGCAAAGAAGGAAAGAAGCAAAGAAGGAAAGAAGCAAAGAAGGAAAGAAGGAAAGAAAGAATGAAGGAAAAAACGTAAAGAAGAAAAGAAGGAAAGAAGGAAAGAAGGAAAGAAGGAAAGAAGGAAAGAAGGAAAGAAGGAAAGAAGGAAAGAAGGAAAGAAGGAAAGAAGGAAACAAGGAAGGAAGGAAGGAAGGAAGGAAGGAAAGAAGGAAAGAAGGACAGAAGGACAGAAGGAAAGAAGGAAAGAAGGAAAGAAGGAAAGAAGGAAAGAAGGAAAGAAGGAAAGAAGCAAAGAAGGAAAGAAGGAAAGAAGGAAAGAAGGAAAGAAGGAAAGAACGAAAGAAGGAAAGAAGGAAAGAAGGAAAGAAGGAAAGAAGGAAGAAGCAAAGAAAGAAGAAGGAAAGAAAGAAACAAGACAAAAAGGAAAGAATAAACAAAATAAGGAAAGAAGGAAAGACGGAAAGAAGGAAAGAAGCAAAGAAGCAAAGAAGGAAGAAGAAAACAAAGAAGCAAGGAAAAAAAGGAAAGAATAAAACACGGAAAGAAGGAAAGAAGGAAAGAAGGAAAGAAAGGAAGGAAAGAAAGAAGCAAAGAAGGAAGGAAGAAAGAACAACGAACAAGAGCCCCATAAGGTCCAACAGAGACATGGGCAACAATCCAGTGACATGTGCCGCCAGCCGAACCCGTCAGCTCCGATCTTACCACCCACACACCCACAGCCACCCACAGCCACCCACACACACACACAACACAACCCGATGTGAGCAGCTCGTCTTTTTCAAGGCCCTAGGTCAAATACCCCACGAGATTCTTTTTTGGGGATGCTCGCACTTGAAGCGGGGGATTGAAAAAGAGAAACGCGCCACGCCCGCAAGGCAAAATGTTCAAGCCCGAAAATCCATCACAACAACCTTCCCCCCACACAAAACACGAAAAAAAGTGTTCATGAGCTTTCAAACCCCCACGCGTTTGTTGTTTCTACACCTCCTTCCTTTTTTCCGGGTGTTGTTTCTATACCTTATTTAAAAAAAAAAAAAAAAAAAAAAAAAAAAAAAAAAACGGGGTTTTAAAAAACCAACGACTGAAACCGCCGCGGCTCGCTCGAGCTCCGTTCGGAACGCCTCCGGCCGCTCCTCCGAGGCGCGGAGGCTCGCGTTGCCTCAGCGAAGGGAACGCCGCACGCGGTCGCTCCGGGCTCTGAGGGCCGTGGAGGAAACTTTGTGGCGCCCCCCAAAAGCCCGAAGAGAATAGCTTCTAGGTCCTGAGAGCTTAGAAAGAAGATGGTACCGTTACTTTTGTCTGTCGATTTTAGTAGGGGAACCCTCCCAAAAAAGGGGGGGGACCTGGGCTTATCTGGCCATGGCCGACTTCGGATGAAAATTCAAGCCAGTTTGTGAAGAGAGGGGTGTCAACCTGGGTATAGTGGGGATTCAGACCACTTTTGGACCTGGATCTCCTGGAAGTTAAGAATTCCTACTCCAAAATTGAAAAGTACTTTTTGGCCTGAGGACACGGGTATTTCCACTTTCGAACGGGTATTTCTACTCTTGAACGGATATTTTCACTACCATCGAAGTGTTCATAAATCAGCACTGCACCTAAATTATCAAAGGCTTATTGCGTAATGTTGGCGTATTTTTTGCGTACCTCCGAACGGGTCCGAACGGGTCCGAACGGGTCCGAACGGGTTCGAACGGGTTTCGAACGGGTTTCAAACGGGTTTCAAACGGGTCCGAACGGATGCCTGAGCAGTCGGAACTACCCGAACGGGCATTTTAACACGGAGTGAAAATTATCACTCCAGCATGGAAGAAAGTACTTTTTCTTTTTGGAGTGGGAATTGTTAACTTTCAAGAGATGCAGGGAGGGCAACACCCACAGATTCATGAACTGGGGCCTTTTTATGTGGGGTCAACATTCGTCAACCCATGTATCATGTTAAGAGATCCCACTGCCGCCATCTTGGGGCCACAGCGGGGCAGGCCTCCCAAAGGGGCCAAATCTTGGCCCAACGAACCCCAGATTCTGGCCCCGATGTTGCCTCTGACCATTGGCTTCCGACAGCCGAACCTATGTGAAAACCATTCTCAGCACATGTGGTCACCCAAATGGACGTGGCACATGTGCGGCTTTGTGCGGCTTTTGCAGTTGATTTGTGGCGAGGGGCCCCGAATCCCGAAACTGAACTGACCATCGAGCGGATACCATTGGGAGCCTGCTGTTTGTACCCAGGTTGGGAGGTTTTGCCTTCTCCCCATGTCGAATCAAAGAAGAGTTCACACGAAGTGCCGAAGCGATTTGTTGGGTCGCAGGCCGCTGGAACTGGTCGGGAGGTGCCTACCCCGTCAAGAGCTGCACGCTCGGCCTGAAGCTCGCGCTGGCACTTTTCTACGCCTTGCCTGTCGGCTGAGCTGAGCTGGGTGGCTCGTTAAGGGTACCCGTTTGTTGATATGTTTTTAAGCACAACCAAAAGGCAATGTTTATATATATATATATAATTATTATTTTTCGGGGGGGACCACCCAGCAGTCTTGCTCAAAGATCCTCGTCTTCTTCATCCGGCCGTTGGCAGGTCATTGCCTCAGTTTAGCACGCTGTCGCGGACATAGAGACGACGCTCATGGAGACACATCGACACCATGGCGCGGAAACGTGACAGATTTTCCCAGGGCGGCTTACCCCCCTACATGGAAGCTCCCAGGACCCCTGTGGAAGACTTTAGTTCATCTACAGAATCCTTCTGAGAGCTTCCATGTTAGTCTGAGGCAGTGTAACTTCGGAAAGCCCGGCATGACATCCCGGCAAAAGGGACCCGGAGAATGAAACACATTCCTGGCGGCACTTCTCATGCAGATTGGGCCGTGAGTTACGCACCTCGGGGGACAGGAAGGACAAGACTTTGCCTGATGTCGGATGCTTGCTGTGCTCTTGTGTCGACTTCTTTCAACAGGGTAGCCCTAGGGTTCAACCCCCCTTAAAAGAATGGTTGACCCAATTTGGATCATGAAACTCCTTAGCTACACAATGGTGGTCACATATTAACCCCCGGTTGTTTTCATGGTGGTTGGAACCTGAAGGGGTATCATTGAATTTATCCAACACCCGGACAAGATGATTCGTAGGCTGCGCACGGATTCCAAGGGGCAAACCTGCGACCCTCACAGGCCTCACAGAGCTCCGAATTGCGGGTTCCCTTCCGATTCCTTTGCGAGCCGCTCGCTTGCGCAACTGCTCTGAGAACTGGGCTCCCTATGCTTGGAACATGGGCCCCAAGCTCCTCGCACACCCTTTCGGGGAAGACTTTGCAGGCCAATCAAACCTCTTTTCTTGTTGATTGTTTTTTCATGTCTCGTTTTGGGGGGAAAGGGGGCCGGCATCCTCCGGCACAGAAAGCAACACTTGTTCGCAGGTTCCTGGGAAAAATGAAAACCATCCTTTTCCCAAACAAGTCCAAGGTTCCAGAGCCACCAAAATCCTCATTTTCCCGTGCCGGTCCGGTCTTGCTGCCGAGCCAGGCGCCCGCTTCTTGTAGGCCACGAAGCCCTGAGTCACCTCGTCCTCCACCAGCTCCGACGACTCGATGGGGTGCACGTACCACAGCTTGGTGGCGGGATGCAGGTGGTATCCGTCGCAGGCCTCCGGGACTTAGGGAAGGAGTTGGCACGAATTGAAAGACCTCCCGGAGTACCTCCCCCCAACCGAATTTCACGATTTCAACTCTGAAAAAAAACGGGCCAAGGCGGGAGTTCGGGGGAGAAATGGACACCGAGGCTGTCTGGTCCCCTGAAGGGAAACCACGAGGATGTGGAATGAACCCAGGGATTCCAACTTAAAGGAAACCACCAGTTGGAGGCCACGAGGATGGTTTTCTTGCATTCCATTTCTCATTCCCTGCATCTCTCGCGCCAAGGGAAGGAATCCACGGATGCCCCAGCGGGCCGAGCGTTGGGGTTTTCGACGTCGGACTTGGCTTCTGTAAACGGCCGGCTCAAAACTCCCGGGAGGGGGGGGGGGGGGTCGAGCCCCCCAAAACATATGTCCAAAAGGATGGCGGTCCACTCGCCAGAATCCAAGCCACCAGACCTGATGAAAGGGACAAAGGAAAACCATTTGCCCTTGTGACACCAAGCGAACCATCCGCTCGACGCAAGAAGGGTCTTTCAGACCATACTGTACCTGTCCACATGGCCAAAAAACGCAGCCTTTCGCCAATCTGCACCTTCCACCCACCTGCCAACCCAACCACACAAAACCCCAGAACCCCCAAACCCCAGACCTACTTCCTGACGGCGGTGCGTAGCCCACATGCCGCCCTCATATCATCTCATATCGCGCGTCAAAACCACTTCGCCCAACACAGCCTGCCAGCTCAGGATATCAAAATACCGAATGCTTCACATCATGAAACCCCAAACGCCACCTTCAGATGCCCCTCAGCACCCCCCCAAGCCCTTGAGCAGCTCCTTCCGCTGGAAAAGCCCCAGGAGTCCGCGGAGCCGACCCAAACCGACCCAAACCGATCAAACCGCCGCCTCGTTCTCGTCGCAGAAGGTCTTGGCCTCAGCCTCCGAGGGGAACTTCATCCAGACCGTGAGCCCTGAGAAGGCCTGACGGCGACGTTTGACCTGGAACCTACCACTTGCCTTGGTTGACCTAGGGGGAGCAACAAATCAAAGTCTTAGCAGCACAGTGGAGATTTCCCAATCAACCGCAGTAAGCAAAAAGGGAAAATGTTTCCCAACAACAACCATGTTGCAGGGATTGACTTCGATGGCAACAGTAATGGGGCCAGTCCAGGAGGCATTTTGTTTTTGGGGGGGGTCCCATCCATGTTTGGCGTTCCTCTACAAATTTCCCTCTTGTTCATAGACCTGGGAAAAGGGGACCCAAAGGGTCGACAAGTCTTGAGAAGGCAAGCAATAGATGCTCAGGCTGGAATCATGAGCTGCCGCCCCCCCTCCCCCCCCAACGCAAGCACCAGCTCGGTCCCCAGCTAACCTGCCACTTGGATGGATCGGACCCCCAGCCGCCCCGCGATGGGATGGTGGCGCCTACATGCAAAGGAAGTCCGGCACCTTGCGTCCCCCTCAGCTTATCCCAACAGCTTCACAAAGAACCCATGCGCCTTGTTCTGCATCTTCTTGTAGCTGCAGACCACGTTGGGCATGATGTCCTCTGACAGCCCCAGCGCCAAAAGCGCAAGCCAAAGCTGCGCCACGCGCTGCGCCATTGCGGGCTCGCGCGGGGCGAGCGGCTGCGCCACTCTTTGGGCTGCAAGTTGAGATGTGATTTTTGCTTCCCCGGCACAAACGGTAATTGCCATTTTCTTAAGCCCCCTGGAAAATAATAATGATATAAAAAAACAAGTAGTGATAGATTCTCTTTAAAGACAACACGAAAAATAAAACCTATTCTTAAGCAAATGGAAGGTAAGCATCTACCACCAAAAAAGGAACAGGAACCCCTGACAAGAGGTTGGATAGAAGTGCCCTGTGAGTTGGGCTACACCGAAAATCCCAGGTAGGGAGGTTGGGGTTGAGGCTCACGGGTCCTGCTTCTTGTTTGTGGGGGGGTTGGTGGGGGGGGGGGGGTGGTTTTGCAGACTCACCCCCTCCAACAACCAATGCCCCAGGCCAAAAGGTTGGAACACCGACCCGCGTCCATGTCGCTGGCTGCCTTTGAGCCAAGCTGCGCCAGCTGTGATGGAGAGAGAGAGAGAGGGGTGTTTCTAAAACGGGGGACAAATAACAGTCTTTCCTTGGTGTCCCTTTAAATCCACCCCAAAAACCGGTACACTAGGAATGCCAAAAAGAAGTGATCCCTTCTTGGTCTATGTTCAATCAGATCTTGTCAAGCTGGCTGAGGAACATTGCAAGATGTTACGAGACCAAGCACGTTCCACAACCATTGGTTTTCTTCCGGAGCCCTTTAAACCAAGGTCAAAAACTGCTTTTTCTTTGCGGGTACCCCCTTCTGGTTGGTTTGAAAGGCCACCAAAGGGAAACCTGCCATTTTAGGGCCCCCTCATTTGGGCACACGTTGTGTTTTTCTTCGGGGACCCCCGAAACTGTGTTTTTTGGCTGTATGGGGAAAAAACAAAAATATAACGGCGTACCCTCAAACACGTTTCACGCCCATATACCCTCTCTTGAGCTTCCCTCCTCCTCGACCCTGGACTGAGGCCGGCGCTGATCAAGTTGGCCACCGCCGCCTCAAATCGAAAGCCGCGCTTTTTGCGCAGCGTGCAACCTAGGATTTGTACCGACTTCCTAACGTTGACCTCATACAAATCAACTCCGGTTTGTTTTTCTTTTTTTGGGCGGGGGGTCAACCTGGGTTTACTGGGGGATCAGACCACTTTTGGAGGGAACACCCCTCTATGAACAAACTGGGGTTGATCAATTTTCATATGGGGTCCACATTCTGCCGCCCAAAGGAAACCATAAAAAGAGAGGGAAAGGAGATCTCCTTTGACGAAATGTGGCTGCAGATCGGGGGGTTGGACAGCTGAGACCGGACCTTCACAAGGCTTAGTCTCCACGGCACGGGAGGGTGGTGCAAAGGGTTATTCCGCCAAGCCCGAGCATGAGGAACACCTTCTCCACAGCAACCCGGATGTGGGTACGGTGGGACTTATGGTAATGGGAAAAGTCTGGCAAACACCTTCTTTGCAGATTTGTCAGGGGAGGCCAAGCACCTCGCCCAAACTGGCAGGGACGTGAACACCATTTAGGGAGCAAGGGACTCCAGATCCATCTGCCCACAAGAGCCAGGGGCTTTCGATCCCCCAACCCAATCCGAGCCACTAACTGAGCTTTACTGGAAGGGAGCGAGATTCGCCATCATAAAACAGCACGATCTTGCATAAGGGCCCGCGAGTTTGTCCGGGAGCATGTGCGCAGCATTACCGCAGCATCGTGCTGTTGTTTGATGTCGAAGTGCGTTTCGACTGCGCAGGCTCGCGAAAAATGAGGCCCGCGAGCTTGGCCGGGAGCATTTTGCGTAGCATTTACTGCGAATGCCATGCAAAATGCTCCCGGACAAGCTTGCGGGCCTCATTTTGTGCGAAGTCGAAACACACTTCGACATCACAAAACATCACGATTGTGCAGTAAACACAACGCAAAGTGCTCCCGGACAGACTCGGGGGCCGCAGACGAAACGCACTTCGACATCATACAACATCACGATTTTGCGGTTAAATACCACGATCCCGGCCAAACTCGCGGGCCTCATTTTGTGCGAGCCTGCGCAGTCGAACGCTCTTCGACATCATTGCGGTAAATACCAAAAGCTCCCGGACAAACTCGCGGGGCGGTAATTGCCACGCAAAATGCTCCCGGACAAACTAGCGGGCCTCATTTTGTGCGAGCCTGCGCAGTCGAACGCTCTTCGACATCATTGCGGTAAATACCAAAAGCTCCCGGACAAACTCGCGGGGCGGTAATTGCCACGCAAAATGCTCCCGGACAAACTAGCGGGCCTCATTTTGCGCGAGCCTGCGCAGTCGAACGCTCTTCGACATCATTGCGGTAAATACCAAAAGCTCCCGGACAAACTCGCGGGGCGGTAATTGCCACGCAAAATGCTCCCGGACAAACTAGCGGGCCTCATTCTGTGTGGGCCTGTGCAGTCGAAACGCACTTCGACATCATGCAACATCGTAAAACGATTGTGCGGTAGTTAAATACCACGCAAAGTGCTCCCGGACAGGCTCGGGGGCCTCATGTTGTGCGAGCCTGCGCAGTCGAACCGCACTTCGACATCATACAACATCACGATTTTGCGGTAAATACCACGCAAAATGCTCCTGGCCAGGCAAGGGGCACCTCGATCTCGCACCGGCCGTTTCTCTTACCGTAAGAACCCTCAGTGGACCCACCGTTTAGGGAACTACCCCTTTGCAAAATACACCCTGCCTGACCTTAAACCCTTCCCCCCCGTCCGCCTCCCACCCCGCCCTTCCCCCCCCCGTCCCCCAGCCCCTGAGGCGGGCGCGGCGATGGCGGGCGCCGGCGCTGATCCCACCTGCCCCAGCTGCAAGGACGGCCGGGAGTAGGCGAGCACCTCGGCTCGCTCTCAGCTCTCGGCCCCCGCACTTCCCGCAACCCTCTTCCCTCAGCTCGGTTTTGGTTTTGGTTTGGTGTTTGGCGTTGGTTTCGTTTTTGCTTGGCTTTGGCTCTGGGTTGTTTTTGGTTTGGTTTTGGTTTTGGTTTGGTTTTGGCATCGGTTTGGTGTTTGCTTGGTTTTGGCTTTGGTTTGATTTTGGCTTGGGTTGATTTTGGTTTGGTTTTGGCGTTGGTTTGGTTTTGGCTTGGTTTTGGCTTGGTTTTGGCGTTGGGTTGATTTTGGTTTGGTTTTGGCATTGGTTTGGTTTTTGCTTGGTTTTGGCTTTGGGTTGATTTTGGTTTGGTTTTGGTTTTGGTTTGGTTTTGGCTTTGGTTTGATTTTGGCTTGGGTTGATTTTGGTTTGGTGTTGGTTTTGGTTTGATTTTGGCTTTGGTTTTGACTTTGGTGTGGTTTTGGCTTTGGTTTTGGCATTGGTTTGGTTTTTGCTTGGTTTTGGCTTTGGGTTGATTTTGGTTTGGTTTTGGTTTTGGTTTGGTTTTGGTTTCGGTTTGATTTTGGCTTTGGTTTTGGCTTTGGTGTGGTTTTGGCTTTGGATTTGGCTTTGGGTTGATTTTGGCTTGGTGTTGGCTTTGGATTGATTTTGGTTTGGTTTTGGCTTTGTGTGGTTTTGGCTTTGGATTGATTTTGGCTTGGTTTGATTTTGGTTTAGCTTTGGTTCGGTTTTGGTGTTGGTTTGATTTTGGCTTTGGTTTTGGCTTTGGTGTGGTTTTGGCTTTGGTTTTGGCTTTGGGTTGATTTTGGTTGGTTTTGGCTTTGGTTTGATTTTGGCTTGGTGTTGGTTTTGGTTTGGTGTTGGCTTTGGTTTGATTTTGGCTGGGTTTGATTTTGGTTTGGTTTTGGTTCGGTTTTGGCTTTGGTTTGATTTTGGCTTGGTTTGATTTTGGTTTGGTTTTGGTTCGGTTTTGGTTTGGTTTTGGTTTTGGTTTGATTTGGCTTGGTTTTGGTTTTCGTTTGGTTTTGGCTTTGGGTTGATTTTGGTTTGGTTTTGGCGTTGGTTTGGTTTTGGTTCGGTTTGGTTTTGGTTTGATTTCGGCTTTGGTTTTGGCTTTGGTGTGGTTTTTGCTTGGTTTCGGTTTTGGTTTGGTTTAGGTTTGATTGTGGATTTGGTTTGGTTTAGGTTTGATTTTGGTTTTGGCTTTGGTTTGATTTTGGCTTGGTTTTGGTTTTGATTTGGTTTTGGTTCGGTTTTGGTTCGGTTTTGGTTTGATTTCGGCTTTGGTTTTGGCTTTGGTGTGGTTTTTGCTTGGTTTCGGTTTTGGTTTTGGTTTGGGGGTCCAACCCGCAACCAAGAAACCTGCAGCTTCCCTCTGCTTGGTGGCTTGGAGCCACGTGGTTTTGGGGTCAGGGGTGGGAGCCCTGAGGATGGGGTTCAAACCCCCAAACCACCAACTAAGTTTGACCTACACACAGTGGTTCTTGGCAAACATGTCTTCCAGGAACGGGATCTATGCTTGGCTTTGGCAAACCGGGTAAAAACGGGGAAACTCCAAAAAGGGGCGGTTTTCCCTAGTGGTTTCCCTTTTAAGTAAAAAATCAGCAAGGGCTTTGGGGAAGGAACCTATCGCAAAGGAAGAAAGCCGCACAGTTGTTGCATTCCTTCATTTGCTGAGAACGAGCAAGCTGATAGCAAGCAGTGGGAACTGTTAATCTATTGAATCCCAGGATGCGATGACATCGCTTGAGAGGCCCTTGGTGCAAGCTGGAACCCAAACCGAGGGCTGCCTATGCCCAGGAGGCTCAGCTGCTTAACTATGGATGTGGGCGCCTGCTCAGGCACATACAAGCCAATTGGAGAAAGGTCAGCTTTCCCTCAGATGGCAAGCTGTGTCTGATTTCCAGTAAAATAGGCCTGAACAGGCAACATCGAACTGGGGATGTGGATGGTGGCCGCTGCCGTCAGGAAGGGCTCAAGCTGCCATTCCGCGGGAGCTGTTACGACACCCAGGTTCTTTCTACTCTGATAGTAGCCAAAGATCAACGAACCACTCTCAAAAGAGATGGACATGAGTGTAAGTGACTTCAGCGGCTCCCTCTTGACAGGGACAGTGACCAACCGGGTTCCATGTGGAACCAGGGGAGGTCGGGTTCCTTGATTTGCGCTCTGTTCATGAACCCCTTTTCCAACATGCGGACTTGCTGAGTAGATTGGCCAAACCTTTTGTTCCCGAAAAAGTACAAAGTCCGGAACTTCAGGGAGTGAGCCCTTCATGCCGTCTAGCGCCTATGGGAAGGCCATGCTCGATGGGATGGGTAGCTTGGGCGCAGCCCGCAAGCCACTCAGACTCTAGCAAAACCTTCTCCTCGGCCCCAGCTAGTGCCTTTTTCAGGCATTCCGGCAACCACCCTTCAGCTTTTGGAAAGTCTGACCCCGGAAGCTGCCTTTTTAACACATACCCTAACCGCTGAAAGCCCGAGCCCGAGATGGTGACTTGGGCTGGGCAACCGGGCGGAGTGCATCTGGCTGCTCTGCGTGCTGTGATGGCCCCGGGGCGAGACATACACTGGAGATGCCTCGAAACCGCATCGGCATGCGGTCGCGAAGGCAACGCGTTCAAAGGGAGCGCTTCGCAGAACTGCCCCAAGACTCAGAATAATCCAAGGGCCTGAATCATTGTGGGCTTGCGGGGTCCCATTACACACCTCCAAGAATCTGGAGATACGCGGTGAAGCTTGGCTTGTTTAATGGGTAAACGTCTGGTCGAATTAGCGAGGTTGATTCGGGTTTTGGGCCAAGGGAGGCCCAAAAAGTAAAGATGCCCCCCGAAATTCCTCGCTTCCTGGATGGTGCCAAACCAGTCTTAACATGCCTGAACCGTTCGTTTTACCCCAAACACGTCTTCTCAAACGATGACAAAAGTGCAGGAACTTGGGAAGTGAGACATGGCCCCAAAGGAAACTGAATCAAAACGAGAATCCCAACCCAAGCACAGAAGCCGCTGACGGAAACGGACATACGAAAGGGATCTCAAACTCTGGTTCTTGAAGCATGGCTGCTTTCCTTTTGGTTGTCCTTTAGAACCCACCCATTGCATCCCTCAAGGAACCCACCTCTGACAGCCTCAGCCTCCGGCCGGCGGTGGCATCCGCGTCAGCGACTGCATGGCCACCGGCTGCATGGCGTTCGCGCCCGGCCGGAAGGCCCGGCCGAGAGCTCAGCCCAGTCGCTGCGGGAGGTTCGAGGACGGGTGGACGTTGGGGTCTTTCGCCCAAGCAAAGAACAGGGGCAGGGGACGCAGGCCTTTTGCCCAAGCAAAGAACAGCTTACAAGGGAAAGGACAGCTTACAAGGGACCTCAAAAAGTGAAGGCGCTTTTTGATTCGTTGGGTAACCCACGCACCAAGAACCAAACAGCTTGCAAGGGACCTCAAAACGAGGAGCCCTTTGATTGGTAACCCATGGTAACCTTTCCCGTCAAAGAAAAAATCCCAACCCGGCACTTGGAACATCTTGGGACTGGCAGCGAAGGGCAAAAACAAAAACTAAGCTGCGCTGTGGTTGCCTCGACTGTTTTGCGGCGCCCACCCCACCAAAATGAGTAATGACCTCCTGGAACCTGGCAACTCCGCCAATGGAGTTTTTCTCTACACCCACGCTTCACCCCCACAATTTCCTAGCTCCCCAAAATCTGTGAATCGGTCTGAATCCTCCCTACGCGCCCTTCGTCAGGGGATGCGAGTCTTCCAGCCACTTCTTCCTATTCAAATTGGGTGAGCCATTCGCAGTCCTGATATGTCAAATCTAACTCATGAATGGCGCAATGTCTGACCCAGGAACCTTCATGGGGGTTTCTCAGACAGATCGTGGTACTGGTCAAAGCGGCGGCCCGCCATTTTGCCGAAGACATTCTGGCCAAGCTAACCTAGCAAAGATCTTGCCAATGACAAGGTGACAGGGTACGCCTGGCTCGAAGAAGTGCCAGACGTCGAGGGCCTGGAAACTACCAACCTCCCCACCCCGCCCCTTTGGCTTCGTTTGGCTTCGGAAAATCCGCCCAGCGTCTGCCCCAATCGCGCGCCTGCCGAAGCTGGATCTGGCCTCGAGAAAGCCGCTTGATCCGATCCAGTCGCCCAGTCGACCCGAAAACGGCTCGACCCAGTCTTCCCCTCGTTGTGTTCTGCCCGTTAGCCTGCAGCACTGGCTCAATATCCCGCTGGCGTGTGGAGGAGCAACAACACCTAAGGCCTTACGAAGGGGGTGTTCTCAGGCAAGAGGTGGGGGCATGCGTTGCAGAAAGGCAAGCGCTGCAAAATGGGTTGATGCTCAGCGGATGGAGACAGGTTGAACCTGAACCACCACAGAAGTAGCTAGGTCGAGTTTCATATATCCAGCATTCCAGCATGCAAAGTGACGTGCTTCCAGTAGTTTTGGACAGGCTTGCGGTAGACACGCTGCAGAAAGGCAAGCGCTGCAAAATGGGTTGATGCTCAGCGGATGGAGACAGGTTGAACCCGAACCACCACAGAAGTAGCTAGGTCGAGTTTCATATATCCAGCATTCCAGCATGCAAACTGACGTGCTTCCAGTAGTTTTGGACAGGCTTGCGGTAGACACGCTGCAGAAAGGCAAGCGCTGCAAAATGGGTTGATGCTCAGCGGATGGAGACAGGTTGAACCCGAACCACCACAGAAGTAGCTAGGTCGAGTTTCATATCCAGCATTCCAGCATGCAAACTGACGTGCTTCCAGTAGTTTTGGACAGGCTTGCGGTAGACACGCTGCAGAAAGGCAAGCGCTGCAAAATGGGTTGATGCTCAGCGGATGGAGACAGGTTGAACCCGAACCACCACAGAAGTAGCTAGGTCGAGTTTCATATATCCAGCATTCCAGCATGCAAAGTGACGTGCTTCCAGTAGTTTTGGACAGGCTTGCGGTAGACACGCTGCAGAAAGGCAAGCGCTGCAAAATGGGTTGATGCTCAGCGGATGGAGACAGGTTGAACCCGAACCACCACAGAAGTAGCTAGGTCGAGTTTCATATATCCAGCATGCAAAGTGACGTGCTTCCAGTAGTTTTGGACAGGCTTGCGGTAGACACGCTGCAGAAAGGCAAGCGCTGCAAAATGGGTTGATGCTCAGCGGATGGAGACAGGTTGAACCCGAACCACCACAGAAGTAGCTAGGTCGAGTTTCATATATCCAGCATGCAAAGTGCCGTGCTTCCAGTAGTTTTGGACAGGCTTGCGGTGCAGAAAGGAGCGCTGCACAGCTGAACCCGCAGAAGCTAGGTCGAGTTTCATATATCCAGCATGCGACGTGCACAACACGCTGGCTGCAAAATTGATGCTCAGCGGATGGAGACAGGTTGAACCCGAACCACCACCTAGGTCGAGTTTCATATATTCCAGCATGCAAAGTGACGTGCTTCCAGTAGTTTTGGACAGGCTTGCGGTAGACACGCTGCAGAAAGGCAAGCGCTGCAAAATGGGTTGTTGCTCAGCGGATGGAGACAGGTTGAACCCGAACCACCACAGAAGTAGCTAGGTCGAGTTTCATATATCCAGCATGCAAACTGACGTGCTTCCAGTAGTTTTGGACAGGCTTGCGGTAGACACGCTGCAGAAAGGCAAGCGCTGCAAAATGGGTTGATGCTCAGCGGATGGAGACAGGTTGAACCCGAACCACCACAGAAGTAGCTAGGTCGAGTTTCATATATCCAGCATGCAAACTGACGTGCTTCCAGTAGTTTTGGACAGGCTTGCGGTAGACACGCTGCAGAAAGGCAAGCGCTGCAAAATGGGTTGATGCTCAGCGGATGGAGACAGGTTGAACCCGAACCACCACAGAAGTAGCTAGGTCGAGTTTCATATATCCAGCATGCAAAGTGACGTGCTTCCAGTAGTTCTGGACAGGCTTGCGGTAGACACGCTGCAGAAAGGCAAGCGCTGCAAAATGGGTTGATGCTCAGCGGATGGAGACAGGTTGAACCCGAACCACCACAGAAGCAGCTAGGTCGAGTTTCATATATCTAGAATGCAAAGTGACGTGCTTCCAGTAGTTTTGGACAGGCTTGCGGTAGGCACGCCAAGAATTTCTCAAACGGAGAGGAATTGGGCTGGCACGATTCCCACAGTGGCCTTCTCCCAAGTACAGTTTGCCGCTTGGCATGAAGGCCGGGCCTCCCAAAAAAGACGCCCTGCAAATCACACATCGGCGGGTTTGCTTACTTTCTTCCCCGTAAAAATGAAGAAACAAAACGACAGCCCCATTTGAAACAGGGCCCAGCCCAAAGAAACGGCGGACCTCCGGACCTCCGGCCCGACGCTCGCCTAAGCTCCGGCCAGGCGCCGCAACCGCCCGAGGATTCGCCATGGCGCCGGCAGGCAGGAACCAAGCTGAACGTCACGCTAGGGGACTTCACAACCATGGTAAGTGGGTTAAATCCTTGGGTGCTGTAGATCCCAGCAGAAAAGCTTGACCTTTTGCTGGTTGAAAGGAAATATGAGGGGAATCCAAAAAGTTAGTCTAAAGATCCAACCCAGCAGAGAATCCATGGCTGAAGGCCTACCCGACTGTACCTCTAGTTGATCCCTTGGTCTGGGCTTCCCAAGGTCTAGAACAGGGATCCGGATGCATACACCTGCTTGTCAATGGTGGTTTCCCTTTATTTTGGCGGAAAAAGCACCATGTTTCAAATGGTTGCAAAATGTATCTTTTGAGGAGCCCTGTAGAAAGAAGGATCGCTGGAAAGAATGGGGAAGGTACCCCTACAAACACTATGAAACCTACCAGCCCAACGTTCTCAGAAAAATTCGCTTCTCGTCTGTCAGATTTTGCTGGCACCAGCGGATGCGCCAATTGTTTAGTGGGTCAGAGGCATGGTAATTACATCAACCAACCTCTGAAGCCCAACTGACAAGCACGGCTGCTACCTACTTGCGTGCTAAGTCTACATAAGCCTTTGCCCCCAATCAAAATCGGATGTTTAGATCTTGGTCCATACTTGCGTTGACCCTTAAACTGCAAATGCGCAAATTAACCAACAAATTTAAGACCTTGCAAGACCCTGTTGACGCCGGAAACCTTAATTCGTTGAGCCTTTTGGCACCATCTCAAGCTGGTAAGTTCATGGATTAAAACAAAGAAACACATACATATGCGGCGGCTTTGACATATCCAAGTCGGGCCAAGCCCCAAGGCCTGCCAAAACGGCATGCGAGCCTGCGTGCGTGTACGTGTTGCGTGTGTCTTATTGGTGCTTGGACACCCCCCAAATGGCGCAACGGGTGTCCTTCTGGTTTCCCTTGAAACCTCCCTTGAAAAGGGTAGCCTCGGAAAAAAAAAAAAAAAAAAAAAAAAAACAGTTCTGTTCTGTGTTTGTTTTTCTGTGGTGGTTCAAGAACGGTATCGTCTACATCTACGTGAGCGCAAGCTCCTCCAGCATGCCCGCCAGGAACTGCGCGTGCTGCAAGGCCAGCCCAAGCCTGAGACGCCCCGCAGAAACCCGCACTTGTCGCCACGAAACGGAGAAACCCGCGCGGCAAAACCAACGGAGCGGTCGAAACGGATTTTCAAGAAGATGCTTGGGATGGGAGCCCCAGGCATGGAACGTAAGGGACAATGGGCAGTGTATATATATGCGTATATATATATACATATATATACCATGGCTCGGTTCTCGGACACAGCATCCCAGAAGCTGTTGTTGATGACTGGTGGTTTCGGAGGTGCTTTGCCACAAGAGCCAGACACAGCTTCGGGGAAAAATGATGGATTCCACTGACAAGTGATCTACCAGTGTTCTTTCCCAACCTGACCCCCCTTGACTCCTTCTCTGGCCAAGACTTCGACTCAGAAAGTTGGCTTCGCGCAAAAGGAAAATCAAGGAAACCCCAAACAAAGGTGACCTTTTGCAAAAATAGATGGCCCTGGTAAATGGAATCAAACAACCAGTGCCATCTATTAAAAGTAAGCTGAAATGGACACCTATGCCCCCAAAAAGGTTTGACAATGCGCGCTACACCACTCTTAGCATCTTGCAGGTTCCATTGAGCTCCAACATGGTGGTTCCCACCAGATCCCAACAGTCCTGCGATTTTGAGAACTGGCACCTCAATCAAACCACGTCAGAGATTCAGGGACCTAGGAAAAAAACAGGCTCTGAAAATAAATCCGCCGACGCTAGTCGAGCGTGTAGATGGCAGTCCGCAACTTGGTCTTCCTTCGGAATCTCTTATCAAAGCCGAAGGCTTTTGGGACTGCTATGTTTTGGGCATGCTGTGCTGGGTGTCCAAAACCTGTATTTGTCCAGTGTTTTTGGGCCTTTCGTGCTAAAAATCTGCATTTCGCCTAGGTCTCTAGGGGGGGGGTTTCCGCCGGACGCGCAGGATCTGCATCCCCAGCATCATCAGGATTGCCTTGTTGCCATGAATTTGTCTTTTTTTGAGATACTAGTGGCGTTTTGCTGTTTCAAGCGATGTTGGAATTGGCCTGTTAGGGGCTTGGGTGGGGCCAAGTGCAATGATACTTTGAGGAACTCTTGAAAATTGCACAAATGAGTGTTTCCTGTACGGCGCAGTTACTGCGAAACATCCCCTGTATTTGAGGGGGTTGCTAGTATCGGCTTTTGATGGTTGCTTTTGGGAAGTATCGGAGAACCCGGGTTTGTTTTGCACTTTTTTCTGGCTAGCAGAGTAAGTTGTTACCAAAAAAAGGCCTTGCTTTTATACCCTTTCGGGGGGTGGTTTAAAGAGTAGACCCTAGTGTTCTTCTCCTGTCAAGTGTTCAGCCTTGCTGCCGAAGTCAGAACGACGTTGTTTGCATTCTCGTTAAGAGACCCATGTGACCGAAGCAAAAAACATCTTTTTCCTCACCCAAATTCAAGCCACCCTCTCCTTCCACGTGCTAAGAGCCCCATGTCACCTAGGCAAAAGAAATGTCTTTTTCCTTACCCCAAATTCAAGGCACCTCAGAAAAGCGTTGTTTGCAGGGGCGTGGCTTGTTCTCCTTCCAGGCGTTCAGAGACCCATGTGACCTAGCCAAAAAGACGTCTTTTTCCGGACCCCAAACTTGAGGTACCCTGCAGCCGACCTCAGAGGGGCGTCGTTTGGTCTCTTTTCACTTGTTAAGAGCCCCACGCGACCGAGGCAAAAAACATCTTGTTGCTCACCACCCTCTCCTTCCACGTGTTAAGAGCCCCATGTGACCTAGGCAAAAAAACGTCTTTCTCCTTACCCCAAATTCAAGGCACCTCAGAGAGGCGTTGTTTGCAGGCGCGTGGCTTGTTCTCCTTCCAGGCGTTCAGAGACCCATGTGACCTAGGCAAAAAGACGTCTTTTTCCTGACGTACCCTGCAGCCGACCTCAGACAACTGTCGCTTGGTCTCTTTTCACTTGTTAAGAGCCCCATATGACCTAGGCAAAAAAAAACTTCTTTTCCTTACCCCAAATTCGAGGCCAAATTCAAGGCACCTCAAAAAGGCGATATTTGCTCTCCTTCCACTGGGGCGTTGCTTGTTCTCCTTCCAGGCGTTAAGAGACCCATGTGACCTAAGCAAAAAAATAAATAGTCTTCTTCCTGACCACAAACTTGAGGTCCTCAGAGGGGCGTCGTTTGGTCTCTTTTCACTTATTAAGAGCCCAATATGACCGAGGCAAAAAAACGCCGTTTTCCTTACCCCAAATTCGAGGCCCTCTCCTTCCACGTGTTAAGAGCCCCATGTGACCTTGGCAAAAAGACGTCTTTTTCCTTACCCCAACTTCGAGGCCAAAATCAAGGCCCCTCAAAAAAAGCGTTGTGTGTTCTCCTTTGATTGGGGTGTTGCTTGTTCTCCTTCCAGGCGTTAAGAGACCCATGCAACCTTTCCGGACCCCAAACTTGAGGTACGCAGCCAACCTCAGAGGGGTGTGGTCTCTTTTCACTTGTTAAGAGCCCCATATGACCTACGCAAAAAAAAAACGTCTTTTTCCTTACCCCAAATTTGAGGCAAAATTCAAGGCACCTCCAAAAAGGCTTTGTTTGTCATCCTTCCACTGGGGCGTTGCTTGTTCTCCTTCCAGGCGTTCAGAGAGACCCATTTGACTTAGGCAAAAAACGTCTTTTTCCTGACCCCAAACTTGAGGTACCCTGCAGCCGACCTCAGAGGGGTGTTGCTTGGTCTCTTTTCACTTGTTAAGAGCCCACCTAGGCAAAAAGATGTCTTTTTCCTTACCCCAAATTCGAGGCCAAATTCACCACAAAAAAGCGCTAGTTGTTCTCCTTCCACGTGGGGTTGCTTGTTCTCCTTCCAGGCGTCAAGAGACCCCCATGTGACCTGGGCAAAAAGACGTCTTTTTCCTGTCCTCTGCAGCCGACCTCAGAGGGGCGTCGTTTGGTCTCCTTTCACTTGTTAAGAGGCTTATATGACCTAGCAAAAAAAAACGTCTTCTTTCCTGCCCCAAATTCAAGGCACCCTGCAGCCGACGTGAGAGGGCGCTGTTTGTAATAATCCTTTTCCTTACCCTAAATTCGAGGCACTCTGCAGCCGACGTGAGAGGGGCGTTGTTTGTTCTCCCTCAACACGTTAAGAGCCCGATGTGACCTAGGCAAAAGGACGTCTTGCTCCCGGCCCCAAATTTGAGGCACCCTGCAGCCGACGTCAGAGGGGCGTTTAAGAGCCCCACGTGACATCAGCCCCAGTTTATTAGTAGGGGACTGTCCACTGGCGTCGGCGGATCGCGTAGCGATTTCAATTAAATAAATAAACAAACAAACAAATAAGGGTGTCTCTTTTTTTGGGACCCCCCCCCCACCCCCCCCCCCCCCCCCACACCCCGCCCCCCCCCCCCCAGCAAAAAAAAATAAAACAAAAAACAAATGTTTTTGGTTTGGTTGAAAACGCGAAAAATTGGGGCGCCCTCACATTTTTGACAAAGACACGCCATATGACAGGCAGGATGTACCCAGCAGGTTGTGATGTCGGGATGTGGTCCTGGCGCCTTTCAGCTGGGCGCCCTGCTGGGTGTTCTCTCCCAGCAGCGCCCGGGCCACCTCGGCGCCGTTTTTCGGTTCGCCGGGGACTTATGGGCTGACCATCGGTATAAATAAATATATATATATATATATATAAATTTATGCATATGTATATATATATATGTATATATATATATATGTACATATTTTTATGTATACGTATATATATATACATATTTATGTATATGTATATGGATATGTATATATATAATGTATATGTATATGAATATGTATATATATATAATGTATATGTATATGAATATGTATCTATATGTATATGAATATGTATCTATATATATAGGTGTATATGTATGCCCCCCCCCAAAAAAAAAAAAAAAAAAAAAAAAAGGACCGGATAACCCCACATGCGCATTTTTTCAGTGAATGGTTCTCTGGTGGCCATGCGATAATGACTGAGTGAGTGAGTGAGTGAGTGAGTGGCCACAGGGTAGCGCTCGGTCACTAGTAGAGTGCTCTCTTCTTTTGCTCGCGAGGCAGAGTCAGGCGCTAGATTATTCACGGTTCCTCTTCTTCAGACAGCTGGAAGTCTAATAAGCCTGAGCTCGAGCACGACTCCGTTTGCCAGCTGCAATGCACGCGAGTTGGCAGGCATAACATGTGTCAACCGCATCTGCGCAACTGCGCGATCTTGTTTTGACTGTGCTGGCTGGCTGCCGAAAAGACACTGCAGGCGGGATGCCAACGGCTAATTTATTCCTGGGCATGCTGGGTACCACCCTTTCGGGGGCACAAGGGGGATGCGCATACATACAAAAAATATGGATACAGATATAAGTTGCACAGGGTAGAGAATGATAGAGATTGGGTGTACCACAGGACTTCGATCCATGGGCACCTAGGCTCTAAGCTGTGGGAGTGGATTTTTTCCAAAAGTCCAAACTTTCCAAAGTCTGCGACTCCGGTCCACCAAGGAGGCGTTCTTGGGCGCCTACCGCAGTGATAGCCCGAAGGGACCGGGCGAAGCCTTTGGGCCGCGGCATCGGGAGCACGGAGCGTGAGGCGCTGCATCTCCCCAATCAAGTGCAGCACCTCAGCCGAGCCCAGCGTCGGGAGATCAAGGGTTCTTTTTGGGTGCCAGAATGTGCCAGAACAGCGTCCAAAAACCAAGGGATCCGAGCGCACAACTCAATTGCGGTTGGCTTGCCATTGTAGGGAACCCTACTAGGAATAGGAATGGGAGGAAGAGTCGATTCACATTTGGTAAAGACACTGCGCCGAATGGGGCCGCAACCTTTGATCCGTCTTCCATATTAATAATATCTCTGAAGGCCTTGTGGTCATCTGAAGCACGGATGACACGGGCCAAAGGTTCTGCTGCCAAACAGCCGGGGTAGATGTGGGTACAGGGGATGACGATAGAAACCATAGTTGGGAAATTTTGCCGACCCACGTGCAGGTAAGCCAGGAACGGATGAACGGTTGGGCCCCGAAATGGTCCCAACCATTATAGGCCACGCGAACCTAACCGACTGACATGTTTCCCTCCTAACTGGCTCGGACTCCCAATCAAACTCAACCAAAATTGACATTGAAATTCATCCACTGAGCTCTTGACAACCTTCACAGTTGCGTTGCCCCCCCCCCTCTCCAATATCCACCAAGGGCTAAGTTGACCAAACCAAACAAATCCAACGAGCTCCTCATTCAAAAACCCCGCACCGCACCGCATCCACTCCATGACGCATCCGCAAAAACCAGTTCCTCATCCAAACACCCAGCATCGCACCGCACCGCATCCACGCCATCCAAAAACTCATCCAGAGGCGAACTCCGCAAATCCACAGCGCGCCTGGGCGGGGGTCAAGGTCTCCATGAGCCGCGCCACCTCCGCCCGCTGCGCCTCCTCCGCCATGGCCATCTTCGCCTTCTCCGCCGCCTCGAGGCGAGCGCGGATCCATCGGCGAGCAGAGCGTGCGAGGTAGGAGCTTGGAGCTGGGTGAAGTGAGGCATACGCAAAACCCGGTAATAAAATGGTCTATAACAAATCCTGGCAGCATATTCGAAGCTGTAAAATGGTCTAGAACCATTTCTGGCATTGTCCCTTACTACCCTCCAAGTGCCCATTGATTGTGGCTCAACTGAGCTAAACCTTCAAATCTTCGCCAAGCTTACGTTCAAAACCCTCACCTTCGAGTCAGTTTCCACTCGGCTTGAATGGCTGGGAGGTCGGTTCAAACCCAACGGAAGCTGAGCGCTGAATACATCACACTGAGAGAAAACTGTCTGATTCATGAACCTTGTGGAATTTCCGCGGTCTCCGAACAAAAAGTGAGCCATTCGCCATAATATGGGACGCCTCCTCTTCATCAACCAGGTCATTGAAACAATGCTTGTCCCTGCCGATTATTTGCCCTTCGGCCCCCAAGGCCTGATAAGGTGAATTCCCCGTGGGGGGAGGGGGCTGAAACCAACAATGAAAAGCTAGGGAGCAGGAAAGAGCAGCTGGAGCAGGGCACTGTGGGCATGGGAAGTGATTGCTTGTGTTGCTCTCTTATCGCCACCACTTGCAAGTCAGGTGGGCTGTTTCCCACTTACAACCCTCCCTGGCTCACTTGAAGTGCATCCTCGTTCTCGTGGTGCTTTCCATTGTCCCAACCACCCTTTGGAAGACTCACTTCCTTTGGGAGCCGTGAGCCTGTGCACCAAACCATGCTGGCCCAGTTTCCACCAAAGGCTCCCTCAGTTCAAGAGACACCTTTCCGTAGGCCTCCGGGGGAGAGCCTCTTGAGGCTCCCACGGCGGGTACCTGGGTCCTTCAGATAAAACCTTTCAAACAGCTGGTGCTTAGAGTTTGTGTCGGCTATATGATTTGGCCAACATGCGTCCTTTGAGGGCCAAGTTCGGCCAGGTTTGCTTCATGGCTGCATTTCAACTGAATGCCCAGCTGGCTTTGACACGCATGCCGGCCTCCTGCTCCTTCTTTCGTTGGAGCTTGTCTGCGATGGTGTCTACCTGACCAGGGCAAGGTAGCAGGAGCCGCCACGAGGGAAACCACGACCTGGCGTAAGGATTAAGGATTGCTTGTGAACAAGGCAGATCACCACGAGCTGCAGCCAGACGCGCCTCAAGCACATCGGACACACGCCCAATACACCCATTTCATCATGGCAATGGTCGCCCAATTGGCAGCCCCCCCCCTCCATGCGCAAAGCAAACAAACACTCGAACACCACACGCACGCTTGCGCTGACTCAAACACAACAATTGAACACTTCTGGCCTTGAGATAACCCTCCGCCGTAAATAGCGGATAAAAGGAAAACCGCTAGCCCCAAGTAGGTTTAAGAACTGTTGAAACTGCCCACCAGGTGGTCACCACTTTTTTCAGTGCCCCCACTTGCGCCAGTTCATCTCTCCCCGGCAGGCAGTCTCCGTCCCACGCGTCACTTCGTGCGCCTTGGGCAGGCTGGCGAGATCAATCGGCGCCAGGCCTCCCGTCCGATGTTATTTGACTTCCGGAAGTCTGTAAATTTAGGCATCCATCCATGCAATTGTCCACAACATTGTTCCCAAAATATACCTATCGAAAATTTATTTGATGCAACTTAGCTTGAAATGCAACTTGATCTTCCAAAGAGGCCCTTGCGAGGCCCAAAGGAAGGCGTGTCCAGTCAGGCTGCGCTCGCTTTTCATTAAGCAAATCCCCAGCCCGATTTCGGGCAGGAAGTGGTGAAACCAAATCTGCGCATCTTGTCAGTGGCAAATGGCGGAATCCAGCCAAACTTCCTTTTTTGCTGGAGGGACTGTCACCAACCCCTTTGTAAAAACTCCTAACATAATCATTCGCATCGACAGACCATGGCCATTGCAAGCGAGTTCTGCCAAACATGCGAACTGGGGCTCTTCACTATGGAGGCGGCCAATCCTAATCCATAACCCCTCTAGGAAAACCACTACCAGGGAGACCCCTTTCATAACCTAACATGAGCCAAGGAAAAGCTATGCGACCTTGGCGTGTGCATCCCATGTCTCATACCCCGGCAAGCTTGGTATGCATATCATGTCCTCTTCCAGCAGGGTGCAAAAACATGTTTGAAGTGAGCCCGCAACCAGGGACCCAAAAAGAACTGGTGCGAACTAGGGCTTTGTACTGGCACTCCATACCGCTCTGTCCAAAAGGCACGTACCTGAAGAAACCAATGACTAGACCTCTTCGGCACTGCCGGCAAATTAACGCTTGCGGCCTACTGCACCCTAGCACAAATGGTAGGAGTGGCATTGCAGCAGCCCAGACAGAGACAGAGAGAGGGAGAAAACCCACACCTTGTTCTGGCCATATTTCCTTTTTGCGTCCCGGGAGCGGTCTTGACTGCATCCTGACGTGGATCCTATTATGTGGTTTAGGTCCGAAACGTAAGGGTACCTGCTTCCTTCTACATCAGGAAGCCATTGCACACACCCCCCCCAAAAAAAAAAAAACTCAGAGGTTCATCTGCGGGTGTTCCTTCCTGCAAGCCCTTCACCTTTTGCCACTGCGCCACCACACGCGGGGTTCCTGATCTGCGCACACAAAAGGGCTCCTCCAAATCAAGTCACCTGGCGAACTCAGGGTGAGTCCTGGCAACCACATTCATCAAACCCTAAAAGGCATATAACCACTCACCGCCCAAGGCCCCAGCCATGCAAGTAAAAGAACCAAAGAAACAAACACATGGCTGGTACCATTTTGGGGTAGGTGCACCACCCATTTTCGTCTATTTTAGTGGGGTGTTGGATGTTCACTGGAGGGTGCGATTTGGATTGGCCACATATGTAACAGCTGGCTCAGGACCCCCCCCCAAATCGCCGGCTTTCCTAATTCCAGGCGCTCGCATCCAGGTCTCTCGCTCAGGACTTGCTGGGCTGCCGCGAGCTCTTGGAGTTCCGGTGCGCGTTGGAGGCTTTGGAACCGGCCTCGCGCTCCGCCAAAGGCGACATGAGGTCGATGTAGCTCTGGTACCTGGTGGAAGGAACCAAGGCTTGGAGCAGAAATTTTCGGGCGCGATGGGTGATGTGGTTGAAGGAGCCCAGGAGTTGGTCCCCTTAAAGGACCACAAGGGGTGCGGAGTTATTTGATTTGTTTTGTTTTCCGTCCGGGCCAGTAAAATGTCGTATTTTACAGCATTTTCTGGCGAAATTGACGCAGTTTACACTAGCCCGTCAACATCGGTGCAATTCAATCTCTGCAAAAGTTTAAAAAGTAGGGGGGGGGGGTTGGGGGGGGCGGAACCCCCCCCATGATGTTCGAAGAATTGATGGAAAAGCCCAGAAGCCGAGAAGCCAAAAGCGAAAAACAATCCAAAAAAGAAAACGAGAAAAAAAAAAAACTTTTAACAAAAACGTCCACCACAAGTTGGCTGGGCTGCCCAAACTGATTTTCCGCGAAAAGTGACTAACTCTTGGGTTCATTACGGAAAACCTACCACTAAACACTACAAGTTTACAAGGCTAAAAGGCTAAGGAACCGGATGACTGAAAGCCACTAAGTTGGGCTCGGTTTTGGGGTCAGACTCCATGTCACATTCCCTGCCGAGGCTTCCGAGGCTGGCAGCTGCCAGAAAATTCGGGGCGCGTGACGGGGGAAAGGGGCACCCACGTTTGGTGGACTTGCCCTACCCCACACTGGGGCCTGGGGGGGAGGGAGGGGAGGGGGAGGGAGCCCAAATAAGCCCGCAAAGTTCGCTGGAAAAAGCGTGGAACGCCTCTCTGACAAACTCCTTTGCAAAGGGGCACTTGCGCTTGGTCAAACCGATCCTTCGGTTTTTGGCCAATACATTTCTCAGCGCCGAAATCCTCAAAACCGCCTTCACCAGTTCCGATCATCAGATTGCTGCGCGAGTTGTTTCGCCCCTGGTGATCAGCGGGTTTTTCTTGTGCCCCGTGCAAACGAACGCCTTGGAGCGGGTCTGGCGGCCCTGGCCCATACGCCGCATGGCGGAAGGAACAGATAGGCGTGTCTTGTTTTGACCCCGTTCGCCCCGTGGGCTGGTTTAGAGAAAAACCAAAAGGACACATGTTGCAGCTCCGCTGCTTTTGGCACAAGCCTTGAATGGGACACCACCGGCCTGGGGCCCCCTGAGCTTCGATTCTATGCTCGGAGCACCCGAGCGTGCATCGCTTGAAGGGACGTGGAATCGAAGCCTGCACTTCTGACGTCCGAATGGTTCAGAGAACCTGGATTCCTTCCCAATTATTTGCAAAGAACCCTCACCACCCAGGGCAAAACTGCTTTCAAACGAACCCTTCAACCCATTGACCCCTTTTTGTCTTGGATTGCAACAGGCGCTGCATGGAAAGATGGCTCACGCCACGTGGCTCGGAAAACCTGATGGCCCCGAAACCCCACCCACCCACCCCCACCCCGGGCGAGGAAAAAGGCAAAAAAGCGTGTTGGCCCACGCTGGGGATGCTTCTTATTTCTCTGGATGAGTCCTCTGCAACCACCAGCCCGAAAAGGGCGGGTGTGATTTCTTAAGCCCTTTGGGCGGTGCTTGAAGGGAACCCCCCCCCCAGAAAGAAAGCACATGTTGTCTTGTCCCCTATTCTGAGAAACCACTCAGTATTTCAGTGGGACACCTACCAAAACAAAAGGACCACATAATTAAGATGCCCCTTAAAAAAATGCCGCTCACCCAAACGCCAACCTCCCTCGTCCCCCGCGCCGCCCCCACGCCCACGCCGCGTTTCGGTCTGAAGGCCGCCGGGGGCGCTTGAAGAACTCCCATTTGCTCTCCGGCGATGTCACGAAGCACTCCTGACGCCATGGCAAGATGGATCTGTCTAACTTGAAAGCTTGGACCTCCGAAATAGTCGTTTTCCTTCAGTGCAAAAAAAAAAAAACACTTGTGTATCTGTCCCTTTTCAGCTTGGTTGAACCAAGCTAACCAAAAGGAAAACACCATCTGGGGGTCCCCGATTTTGACGCGTGCCGATGTTTCTTAACCGAAAGCACCCTCGAAAATGTTCTCCTCTTGCAGTCTGCTCATGTTTCATGCTTTGGCTGGAATCACCCTTGAAAATGGTTAGACCAATGACCGGCCATGAAATTAATCCAGTGGTTCACAGCCATGAGGGAAGTCATAGCAAGTTCAAGACCCGTGAGGGTCCTTCAACGGCCCTTAGTCACCAATAGGCACTACTTCGCTTGGCTGCAACGGCCGCTCCTCTTGCTAAGCCTTTGAATTTCGAAAGTGGCGACGGACATGAATCTATAGGATCCCCGCTGAATCGTGCCCAGAGCTTCCCCACGTCAATTCACGCCCATTTCGCCAGCTCATCCGCGCCTGAGGCTCGCTGTGAAAGCGACGCGACTTCTGAAAATGAGTCGGACAATGCCAGCGAAAAGATGCCGGGTCGACCACCAGGTCGGTATACACTAGATGTTCCCAACCTGGGGGCAAACGCAGCCGCAGCAAAAAATTAGCATAAGGCCTGCATTTGCATCTCCCCAGAATTCGGGGACTGAAGTCAACGACGCTTTTTCTCGCCCGTTCGGCATCAGCCAGCAGCTTGAAACCCCGCAAAGCTTGGGAAGAGCTTGGGAAAAAAAAAACGCCCGTGCGCAATCCGAGGCCACAAGCTCATCTTATCAAATCTTTGGCTTGCAGAGGATCACAAAGTTGGGGCCTGTCAGCATTCCCAGAGACTGCAAGCCAATGCTTCTTGCTAACTACAGATGCCTAAGCTTCACAAGGGAAAGCCAACGCCCGCCTGAGGGACCCGCAAGTAAACATGCTTCATGCTGAGCTCGGTCGAACCCCCGCTTGGCCAGCCCCAGAATTGGGGCACCAAAAATGAGAAAATCTGTGCTGATTCTGCTGAGTGAGCCAACTGTATTTAAAAAATAGGGGGGGAAAACAACATCACTTGGACCCCCGACAAAAGATGATTTTGGGTGTCCTGTCGGTTTTCCCTTAAGACCACATTTAATAAGAAAAAAAAGGACCAACAAAAATCGATTTCGGGCTTCCTGGTGGTTTTCCTTTTATGACCACCAAAAAAAGTAATGACAACCTCACAAAACAACAAACCCATTGACCCCCACCAGTCGGCGAGCTCGGCACTCGAGCGGTACTCGTCCTGGTAGTGCTGCAGCAGCTCCTCCACCTCGAAGTCGGAGACCTCCGCGTGCATGTAGGTCCTCTCGAAGGGGTCACGGCGCAGGTGATGCCCATGATTAACTGAGGCTGAAGCCCGAGTTTATGTGTATATATATATATATATATGTTTGTGTGTGTATGTGTGTGTACAATATAAATATAGATGTGTATATGTATATATACGTAAATATATAGATAGATATATATATATATATGTGTGTGTGTGTGTGTGCATTATATACATATGTACTTATACGGACCATACCCCTAGTTTATGTATGCGTGCATATGTGAACTTCTGGTATGAAGCCCTGGTGAATCGGCGAAGTAATCGTTAGTTGTGGCTTCATTTATGGAACAAATAGCGCCCAAAGGCTGTACCAAAGGCTGCAACTTGGCCGTGGGTTATGGACCTACACAAGTTAAACCCCAGCCAGCGGATCCAGTTACATCCATGGTAGGCAACCAAACAACATGCACCCTTTAAAAACCAAAAGGAGAGTAGCTGGTTACTCACTAGACGGGTAAATGGGATCCACTGGGCCAAAGAAAACTTATAAGTGAGTCTATTCCGTATGAACCTCGAGGAGCAAAAAACATATCCCTCCCCCATGCTTCCACAAGAATAGGCTGGCCCCTTTCACAAGGGAGGGGGTGAACACTGGAACTTGTCAATCCCATTCCCTCTTTTGGGTGTCTCTTTGGAGGGGGTGAACACTGGAACTTGTCAATCCCATTCCCTCTTTTGGGTGTCTCTTTGTTTAAGGGTACCTCCTTTTAGGAAACCGATAAGAAAACCGTTGCGCTATTTGTCGCAACAGGGCTCCAAGAAACAACGTGTCTGGGTCCATATCAAATACCTCAAAACAAGTTGTTCAAAACACAGAACCGCCTGGATGTGGGCCTAATTTTAAAGTGCTTTCACCCTCCCCACTTAAAACAAAAGGTTGGAGAAACCAACAGCTCCCATCTCCCGCACCTTTCGGGTATCTTTCCTCTTCCACCGCGAAAAACGCGGTAGCGAAACCACCAAAAACCATGGTTCGCCATCCCCCCCGCTCCCCGCGCGGGAAAAACAAAACAAACCGCCCCAAAGGCCATCTAATTGCACCGGCTATAAACGCAAACCCCCGCGATCGAATCCCCGCGCGAGCGACTCCGAACCGCCTCAGGGCCTCCCGGAGGTCGTGGACGCGGATCGTGCCCTCCGGGGCGCTCCGCGCAAAGGCGCGGAAGGCCTCCGAGACCTCGTCGGGCTCGTAGTCGATCCTGGGAAAAGCCGAGCGCGAGAGGGGGGGTGACCCGTGGGAATGGACCGGCTTTGGGGATGAGGTTTCGAGGGGTGGTGTTTCTAGGTGTCAGTTTTCTGGGGGTCTAACCGGAAAGGAAACCAGAGGGAATGGTTTGTAGGGGTGCTCCTCGGCGCGGAAAACGCTCGGCGCGGAAAACGGCGCGGGGCGTGGAGCGGAGGACGCGAGGGACGGGCGGCAACGTCAGTGAAGGCGTTGGTTGAATGAACCGGACTTGCGGGATTCCCAGAAAGGAAGCCAGAGATGGTTTCTAGGGGTCATTTTTGTTCATTGGAGCGACCCACTCAAATAAAAAAGACGTGGAGGGAAACACTGCAAAGAAGAAAAAGTGGCCTCTTCTTCCCAGGCCACTGGGAACATTTGCAGGTTATCATAACACCTTATAATATCCCACCCATTTTTTGAAGGAATCTGCAGCTCCAGCTGGGTGAGTCAGTTTTTCAGGTGTACCCTTATGGAACTGACTTCAATATCAATCCATCTTGGTGCTTGGGGTTGGGGGGTGAACGGTCTTGCAAAAGGGTTGCATTTCGCTTGGTCTTCTTTCTCCCCAGTCACCGAACAAACTCAATCTACGTTTGACAAACCTGTGGGCCTGCATAAAGGGATTCCAAAAGGAGGTGGTTTAAACCTCGGCAGGAAGCACCCACCCTCTGAGTCTGTGATACTGGTTTTTTGGAGAACCCCCGGAGGATCGCAGCAAGTTGGCGCGGGGTCCCGTCGTTTTCCTTCGGGTGCCTCGTGGTCCAATGTCGTCGAACCTCTGTTAGATCAAGTGGCGCATCAATACTGGAAAAAGCAGGCAACTCCTGCTTCCTCACCAAACTCTCCGAAAGCAAAAGAACAACAGCTTTTTAGAACCCTTCCTGCCCTCCTCCCCCAGGTGCTTTCCAGCAACTTGGCAAACAAAAGCTGGCTGAGGAGGAACTACGCATTTTTCCCCCCAAGAGCGCTTTCAGCATCGGGGTCTCGCTGCCAGGCAAGCTCCCTTAAAAAATGTGGTTCGGAGCGGCTCCGGGCTGGGGGAACCCGCGAAGGTTTGCAGGGATTGTTTGGGACGCGGGTAGTTGCCATTAACTGCAGTGAGTTTCAAAAAAAAGAAGAGAAGAACAAAAAGGGCACTACCTGGCGTCTGCGGACCCTACAAGGGCGCTTCACGCCATTCGCTTCACTTCGGATTCGGATCTGCGATCGCTTCCCTCCGGGCGTCTGCATCCGTCGGGCCATGGAGTTGCAGAACTCCGTGAAGTTGATCTCCCCGTCCCCGTCCACGTCGATCTCCCCCATCATGGCCTCCTACAAACAAACAGCGCGAAACATTCCAAGTGTCCAATTTAACTTCCTGGAGAATATCCTGGAGATTGTTTCTTTGAAACATGGCCGCCGAAGAAACTAGAAGAAACATACCAACCAAATAGAAAGGAACAGCTAGAGCCTCGGTCATGCCGAATGGCGCCGATTTCTGTTGAACCACATCGGCTTGTCCAGCCCTAGGGTTCAACCCCCAATCAAATGGCAAGGACGCAACTTGGATGAAACCCCTTCTCTGAACAATGGCGGTTGCATGCCATACCATCGCCTTAATGGCTTCAATCAGGCCAGGGTTTCAACCAGCTTAAGCGCAACCGAAATCCATGCGCTGCCACCGTGTTCCACCAAAAAAAACCTCGAGATCAAGGCAAATCAGTGGGAAAATCGAGTTTACTTGGAGGGTGCCAGCGTTCAAGAGTCACTCAAGCTCGACATGGGCGGCTGTCTGCGTTGTGGGTGCCTGTTTTGGGCTGACTTCCAAGGGAAACCAAACGAAAAACCGACCTGTGTGTGTTCGTGTGTGTGTGTTTTTTGGAAAGGGGCTATAGCTTAAACAACCCAAATTGGGGATGGGTTTCCAAGGGAACCACAAGGAAACCATGTTTGTTGGCGGGGGGAGGGCAAATCCTAATTTGACACCATAGTGTTTTATGTTCCTTCGCTGTCCCTGCTAAAAGAAGAAGAAAAACAACAGCCCCAAACAGGGCTGCCCTTTAACCAAAAACCAAGCCAAACCAAACCACCCACCGCCGCGGCACTCCCATTTTGGCTGGCCCCAAGACCCAAAGCGCCGCCGACGAAGCGACGCCCGACGAACCGACGAACCGACGAACCGACCCGACGCGCATGCCCCGGCCATCTGCAGAGGGCTCAGCTTCAAGCCCACGGCCTCCAGCAGCGTCTCCAAGTCATCGACCCCTCAGATCGACCCCGACTCGATCCGATTCGACTCGGAGGCCTTCCGATTCGACCCGAGGCCTTCGTAGCAAGGGGGTCCAAAAAGATGGTATCCCCTCTGGTTGGTGGGAAGGCTTCAAGGAAAAACCCTTCCCAAAAAAGTTGAGAAAAAAGGGACTCCGCTGGGCAGCTGGGCCTTGACAGGGTGGTAGCTTTCAGGGATCAACCGCGTGCTGCGGCGCTGTCGCAAGTCTCATTTGGGCATCGATTTGCCCGAAGAATTCAAACAAACCACACACGCAGACAAAGAGGAGCATCAACAAACACAACAGCACCATACCTTCATTTGCTCCTTGGTTTGTGGGAGCATGGCCAGTCGTTTCCTGCTCATTTGGCCAGTGCAAAGCTTATGCCTTTTCCGAACCCAACCGTTATGCAGGGTGTCTTCCAGGTTAGTATTTTTACAGACCGACCTGTGACCATCTGCCCGGTGACATGTCACAAATGCCCCCAGCGACCAGTGTGACAACATCCTTCGAAGCCTAGTGCCCCTGTGAAAAAAGGTGAGCCATTTCTGGGGCTGGCCATGTGTGGGGGGGAGTGGGGCTGGCTGTTTAGTGCGGAAAGTCACCAAACCAAACTGGCAGTCACTGGATTTCCCCTTGAAAAGCTGATCAATTTACCGGCGGCTTGCTCTTTCTGCCACTTTTGGAGGTCCAAAGCAAGTGCAATGGCCGGGAACCCCTGACTGCACAACTGGGGAACGCGGACTGAAGTTGTCATGCGCGTATTCCAAAAAAAATCTCTAAGGCTCCGATGCTGCCCTTCTCGCTCCAGTCTGTGAGGGCGATGTTCTCGTCTGAGACACCAGCAGACCGCGCCTCCCAAATCAGTGCGGCGCGGATTTGAATGCCATACCGCGCAACTTTGGAGCATGGCCTCTTGCCCTTTCTATACAGGCAGACACTGAGAAACACAAACACACACGCACACACATGCACGCACACACACGATTAACCCACACATGCACAAATATCAAATCACAAACTGACTTCCAAATCCAGTACAGGCATACACACACAGAGACACACGACACACGACGCACGACACAACACAACACAACACCACCACCAACACCAACACCAACACCAACACAAACACCAACACCAACACCAACCACCAACACCAACACCCACACCCACGCCCACACCCACACGCCCACGCACACCCCCCGCACCCCCGCACCCCCGCACCCCCGCACCCTCGCACGCCCACACGCCCGCACGCCCGCACGCCCGCACGCCCGCACGCCCGCTCGCCCGCACGCCCCCACGCACCGCACCGCACACGCCCCGCCGCCCCCGCCGCAGCGCGCGCCGCGCGCGCCGCTTCGCCGCCGCCCGCCACGCCCGCCCGCCCACACGCGCACACACACAGAGACCCATAAGTGACCTTCTTCAACAATAGAGATCCCTGGTAAATGGAATCAAACCCATCTAAACCAGTGCTCTATTTCTAATAAAAGTAAGGTAAAAAGGACACCTATGGCGCACACACACACACACGTCACCGTCACCGTCACGTGCTGTTAAAGCTCGCGTTTGGCAAATGCGAACGCGACTCCCCTCCTGGCTGAGCTGCTTGAAGAGGCAGAAGATTTGCCGAAACTCCTCCTTGTCCTGGCACGGATCTGGGCCTGTTCCCCCTCTTTTCTATGGCCCCCAGTGAGCATCCCAACCCCCACTAAAATAGACTAAAATGGGTGGTGCACCTACCCCAAAATGATACGTCAGATCAACAAACCACAAAGCTGCCCATGCAAAGTCACTGCGACAAACGAGCACAAGACGTGGCAAGCAACCATGAAATCTGCTTCGAGCACGATCTGGTGGGAGCAGTGACTCACTGATCCGCACTGTTGCCTGTTTTCAGACGGCCCCTTTCCGCAGAGCCGTCTGCACAAAATTCACGCGCGCCCCTTCAGAAACGAAGCTCATTCCCCGCAGGACGGCGCGCTCACGCCCTCCCCGAAACAAACATGCAAACATGTACAAACACATGGCTTCACCGGGGCTTAGTTTCACTTATCACGTGAGCCACAGTCAAAATCGTGCGGTTCCCACAATCCCCCCTCCCCCTTCCCGTGCCTCCGTGCCTCCGTGCCGTGAACACTTACCATCCAACTCCAAGCGAAAGTCTAGAAAGCCGTTCTGCAGACATACAAACCGAATACCCCAAAGAGGCTTTTCCCTACCACGAAGAATGTATCCAGGGACAAGTTCATGACTCCCCCGAGGCATTTTCCCAACCGCAAGACAATGCATTTTGCCATCTTGCCAAAAGAAACAGCGCCAAAAAGGAGGCGTTCCAAACAGGTGGTTTTCCTTTCGGTTTCCCCTCAAACTGGGCCGCACGCCTTAGGGCCACACCATCCGCGCCTCCTCCGTGATGCCCTGCTTCTTCACCGGCGCCTGCGCTGCGACCTCCTGGCACGCCCGAAGCGCTGCGCGTGGTGGGGGCCGTCGCCGAAGCAAAGCGAAGCCTTTTCAGGCATAGAAGTGTCCTTCTAGGGGAAACAAATGGGATTCCCTGGTAGGTGATTAAACCACCAGGTGTTCAACAGGGCAATCGATTTTTCATGCAAAACAACCACCAAAAAGGACACCTATGCTTTCAGGCCTACGACCTGCTGATTTTGAGAGTTTGCGGCGTCAATTTCAGAGGTTAAGGGGCAGTGCTGGGTCGTCCGCTCTTGAGCCTTGACATGTTTTTTGGGCAGCCCGTTTAACAAACCGTTTACGATAGGAATGAGGGAATGAACCCAGGGATGCCCTGAAAGGAAACCACCAGTTGGATGGTTTGTACGGGTCACTCCCACATTCCCTACCTACCGCCCCAGCAAGACGAAGATCATAGCCTGAGAGCTTCCATTTGATTATTCGGCCCGGGGAAAAAGTGATGACATATTTTCAGTGGTGAAATCGATCCCCTTTAGAGCCAACAGGGGAAAATACAACATATTCTTAACCAAACGGAAGGGATCAAAGAGAAATGCCAGCGGAACCCGTAAGATGGCTGTCATCCGCCGTCACGTTCCGTGTTATCGGAAGATTGTAAGTGTTCCTTTTGTTTTCCCTTTCGAAGAACCTGAAAAACTGGGCCCTCAAAAACATCCTCTCAGGTTCCCTCCAACTGGTGGTGTGGATTGGTGGTGTGATTCAGGATGGGTTTCCCATTTACACTGTCACAAGAAGCAAGGGTCAAACCACCAATCCGAGCCGCCAATTGGGAGTAACCTGATCCTTGGGAGGTTTCAAAGGGAGACTGAAAGGAAACCGAGGCCCATGTTGTGATATGCCACATCCCAGCTGACACAGGCATACCTTCATGCACAGCATGGCGCAAGCGCCCCTCCAAATCCAAAAGCCCGAGATGAAAACCTCGACCAACCAACCAACCAACCAACCAACCAAGCAACCAAGCAACCAAGCAACCAAGCAACCAAGCAACCAAGCAACCAAGCAACCAAGCAACCAAGCAACCAAGCAACCAACCAACCAACCAACCAACCAAGCAACCAACCAAGCAACCAACCAAGCAACCAAGCAACCAAGCAAGCAACCAAGCAACCAAGCAACCAAGCAACCAAGCAACCAAGCAACCAAGCAACCAAGCAACAAGCAAGCAACCAAGCAACCAAGCAACCAAGCAACCAAGCAACCAAGCAACCAAGCAACCAAGCAACCAAGCAACCAAGCAACCAAGCAACCAAACCAAGCAACCAAGCAACCAAGCAACCAAGCAACCAAGCAACCAAGCAACCAAGCAACCAAGCAACCAAGCAACCAAGCAACCAAGCAACCAAGCAACCAAGCAACCAAGCAACCAAGCAACCAAGCAACCAACCAAGCAACCAAGCAACCCAACCAAGCAACCAACCAAGCAACCAACCAAGCAACCCAACCAAGCAACCAAGCAACCAAGCAAGCAACCAAGCAACCAAGCAACCAAGCAACCAAACAACCAAGCAACCAAGCAACCAAGCAACCAAGCAACCAAGCAACCAAGCAACCAAGCAACCAAGCAACCAAGCAACCAAGCAACCAACCAACCAACCAAGCAACCAAGCAAACAACCAACCAACCAACCAACCAACCAAGCAAGCAACCAAGCAACCAAGCAAGCAACCAACCAAGCAACCAAGCAACCAAGCAACCAAGCAACCAAGCAACCAAGCAACCAAGCAACCAAGCAACCAAGCAACCAACCAACCAACCAAGCAAGCAACCAACCAAGCAACCAACCAAGCAAGCAGCCAAGCAAGCAACCAAGCAAGCAACCAAGCAACCAAGCAACCAAGCAACCAAGCAACCAAACAACCAAGCAACCAAGCAACCAAGCAACCAAGCAACGAAGCCATTCAATCAACGAGTCAACCAACGAACGAACCAACCAAAACACCAACCAACGAACCATCTTGCTGGGAGCCCTTCATTTGTTCGGCTACGGGTTCCAGAAGGCAAACCGGCAAAGCTACTTTCATCAGCCTGCTACACGAATCATTCAGAAGGTCCCAAGCTCACCTGACCGAGAACTTGGCGTTGAGCTATTTTCTGGCAGTTTGAATTGGTGGCTTAGGGCAACCAGGAAACCATGAGAAACCCTTGTGTTGGCCGCTCTTGTGGGTTCATGCGTATGCCACACCAGCCCCGAACAAGTCCCCAAAAGATCTCGCCTGCTTCTCCCTCCTGGAGGGCAGCTTTTCGGCCGCCCGCATGGCGCGGTCGAACTCCTTGACGCTCACCTCCCCTCCGCCGTCCTTGTCCTCGACATGCGAAACATCGACGCGATCTCTGGCGCCGCGCCCCGCGCCCCGCGCCCCGCGCCCGCTGCTCAGAGGAAACCGAGCAAAAGAAGCGGAGAAACAAGACTAGCCCTCAGTGTTGGAACTTTTTTTAAAGAAGAAAAACATGTGTATATATACATACATATTTATATATATATATATATTTGTGTATATCATACATAGATGTGAAGTGTGCATATATATATGTCTCTCTCTCTCTCTCTCTTCAGACTGGGTTGCTTATTGCCAACCCAGTCTAAGGAAAATACATACGCAGGTATGGTATATATTAGACACTGCACTTCTCGTCTGTCCAAAGGACCTACAAAAAACTGTTGCCGGTTCATCTTTCGCGACCTTGACTAGCTCATTCCAAGAATCATGGAAGTGGACAGGTGGATTTGGGAAGACCATCTTGAAAAGGCTGTTGCCCCAGTCAAGCCTGCAAAAAAAAAACACCAAACAAAAAAAACGGGAATCCCGCTTTAGTATCTCATAAAGGGGATTCTCCACCATTTTGGTTGCTGTGTTTCAGGGGCAGAAGAGCACCATCCTTTCAGGGCCAAAAAAGCCTTTACCGGCTGAAAGGCCGGAGGATGGGGGCACTCCATCCATCCCGGCCGAGCGTCGATGACCGCCATGATGGACGCCAGGTCTGCCTGCAAGCCGGAAGTCCGCTTCCCACGGGCCAAATGGAACTCACGGACCTCCCAAAAAACGAGGGGGCGATGGCACACAAGGGAGATCACTTGCGGGTAAAGGACCCAAGCAAGTATCGACCCATCCGTAAACCCAGAGCTGATTGATAGGACCGAGGGTGTCCCATCTTAGAGAAAGTCCGTCATGTTTGATGACACATCCCTGCTATTTGTCTCGCTTTGAAGGACTGCAAATGAAGGTGCAAACGTCCAAACTTGAGAAGCCGCCTTGAACTAAGACATTTGGCGAACTGCATTCCCAGTGCGTAGCCAAGGCCCCGGTTCATTTTCCAATTGGTTTCGCAAGATCCCCACAAATTCCTCTCTCTCAGTTGCTCACCCGTCCAAAAAATACAGTCGAGGATTCTGGGGGGAGGACATAGCACAAGAAAAGGCCCGAAATGAGAACACTGCAAGGTCAGAGGTACAAATGTTTGGTTCCTTGTCTGCCGAACCTAAAACATGGCCGAAGAAAGCTCCTTTCAAAACGGGCCCCACAAGCAGGAATGTGATATTCACCATCACCCCCCCCCCTCCTCAAAAAAACAAAAAACAAGAAGAGGACATGTACTCTACAATGTTGTGGGATAGGATTTTAGAACATACATCATGTTCTTTAGGCCCATATATGCCGCTTTCGTTGCCCTGCGGAAAAAGGGCAAACTGCTTTTGTTGAATAATTTAACTACCATGTCCTTGCAGAACTCCTGGTACCAGTGGCTCCTGGGCTCCGTATCTGAAAGCAAATATGGATTCCAAGGGCCCCCTGTCCATCTGCAAATTCCATTCCAAAACCTGAAGTGAGACACCTGGAGCCCAGCTCGTCTTTTTTGGTTGGACCCCCTAAACAATTGGTTGGTTTCCGTTTGGTTGCCCTTTAAAGCCGCCAAAAATGGGTACCCTCAAAAAAAGGACAGACCCTGGTGAGTCGACAGCAACTCCGGGAACATGAGCTGCGGAAGGACATGGAAGGACCCCTGTTGCTACGAATTTGGACCTTTGCCATGGGTGGAACCCCCCCAGTAGCCAACCCCGAATTGGTGTGGGCTGAATTTCGGGCTTGGAACCCCTGGCCGCCAAAAAAAAAGAAGGGGGGAGGCCCCTCTCCAGCCCAGCGGGCTCCACCAACTACTGGATTTTTCATGAAACCCCTGGCTGCTTGGCCGCCCCTCGTGTTTTTGGGCTGACCACTTCAGACCACCGCCCCGTCGCCCCGTCGCCCCGTCGCCCCGTCGCCGGGCGTTTTTCGGCGCCTCGGAGAGCTTGAAGCCCAGGTCGTAGAGCCCCGACCGCAGCTCCTCCCCGGTCACGTTGCCTCGATGGACATCCGGGGACATCCGGGGACCCGGGGACCGGCGGACCGAATTTTGGCCGCGGTTCTTTCTTGTGGGTGCGTCCGATGTTATTGTTGTTGTTGTTGTATTTTTTAAATGTTGGTCGCTTTTCTTTGTGTCCGATCTTTTTTGGAGTTGAACCACCAGTCACGCTTTTCTGTTGCGTCCGACTGTCGTTTGGGGAGCTGAACCACGGCCATTTGGGGTGACAGGCAAAAACAAGATTGGGGGAGTCCCTCATTTGGAGACAAGCCCAGCTTGAGGACACACCCATTGGGATGGCCACGGCCCTTGCTTTCGACCCCAAACACAGAGGCCTCGAACCTGGGGGTCTCGGTTAACCAGCTCAACAGTGGTTGGCGGACAAGCAAAACCGAGTGTTGATGTCCGAAAACTCACAGCTACGGGGGGCCTCTCTCAAAACAATCCTCGAAAAACTGGTTGGCTTCCCTTTGGCGGCCTTTTTACCACCAACCCAAAGGGGGAAGCTTCCCCCAAAAAAATCCCTGCGATGGCCGAGACCCGGGACCCGAGACCCGGGCCGTCGCCGCTGCTGTCGATCTTCTTGAAGAGGTCGCTGGCGCGCAGCCTGCCGAAACCCACGAGTTGGGTTCTGAATTTCTGGGTCAAAGCTCTACCAACCTTGCTATACTTGTGGTTTATCTGGGGCTGCAAGGTGGTGTCCCGTTAGAACACGAAAGTGACTTTGATGATGAAATACGGCTTGAACCCCCCCTCCGCTTTCGGGGATCGGAACCTTCAGGGTTCCAACGGTTCGGATCGATCCATATGTTGACTTCGGATTCATCAGGAACCTTCTAGGCAAAGCAACCCCAAGATGATCCCCTTAGAAGGGGAAGCATCCCTCAGTACGTGTGGTTTCCCTTTAAACCAAAACACAGGGAGTGCCCTCAAAAGGGGCACACCCAGAGGGATATATGACCTCATGGGCACACTTCAAACCTCGGCCAGGCTCGCCTGCATCAAACAAACAAACAAGGGCACCAATACAGGGTTCGAACCAATGTGTTGGGCGAAATCTTGGAAAATGACACCCCCTCCACTCAAAATGAACAGTTCAACAGGACCCCGCTATTAAGAACGGGCGTCCCTATGGACGCCTTTTTTCAATTTCCTTCCGTTGCTAACATTGCGCAGCCGATCAAAGGATCCCCCTACCTTCAGAAGGAGGGGGTTTGGGGGGACCCAAGCAAATGGGTCGTAGAGGGGACACCAAAAACAAAATGAGATGCGGGAGCTGTCCTCAGATTTCCCTGCAAAAGTAGCTAACTTTTGGTGGGCCAAATGGAAACCCAACCACTACACCAACTAAAAGCAACGAAAAGAACGCCGGAGGAACCTGACGATTCGCTAAGGAAGCCGCCCAGAAAGCACCAGCTCGCCGCCCTAAACAGTGCGGCCGCGCCTCTTCCTCTTCAGCAGCTCTGCCACGCTTTTCATCAGGTCCTCGCAGCTCCAGCCGCCGAGTCGCTTCGAGCGAATCGGATGATCAGTAACTAGGTCCTCCAAAGAGGTTAGAATAAGGGTCCCAACTTGTTTCTGTCTACTTTTACTTTAGTAGGGGGTTTCCCTCCCCCAAAGAAGGGTAAAAGGGCACTACTGGGAGACCTAGAGTAAGGAAACCACCCAAAAAAGAGGTGACGAACTCACCACTAGGTGCGTGGTGAGTTACCCCTTGGGTCATTTGAGGCAATCTTGACCAACCCTATCCAGTTCCTGGTAACCCTGGCCCAGTTCCCCAGTCATATAGGTCCTACCCGACCCCCCCGAGCTCACCAATGCCTGAAGAGCATTCTTGGGCAAGAACCTCAGAAGAACAACGGGTAGGAAAAAAAGGGGGGGCCCGCCGTTCGGTGGTTTTTTTCTTGATTTGTAATTGGAAACCGCCGGGAACTCAGCAGGCTGCCGTTGCCGAGGTGTGGACGTGGAGTGGAAGCGCCGTGACAGGGTTGGCTGGGGCGGTTTGAATGGATAAACACGGCGCCGTTTCCTCGCGTTGGTTTCCTTGAGCCACCGATCATTCGCCGAATCGAAGGCCCCCCAGGGCCCCAGGGGCACCGCTCAGCCACCGGACAGAATACGTATGGTCCACATAAACAAAAACCAAAAGGAGGTTGTTTCAACAGCCGTCTCCGTTCCGTGGACATTTGCAAAAAAAGAAGGAACATACCGTCCAGACTTTTGAGTTACCCTCCCACCAACTAACATGGAAGTGCAAAAAGGCCCTTTCCAAGAGGAAAGTTGTCTTTCTACAGGGGTCTGTGCACTTCCATGTTAGCTGGTGGGAGGGTACTTCACAAAAAGAGAGAGAGAGAGAGAAAAACCAGAAAAAAAAAAGTGTCCAAAAACGTCATCAAAAACGTTCCCTCAGGGGCGTCTTTTTACTACCTTTTGTGAGACAATTGCCGACCTTCTCAAACAGGAATCCTTCACTATGAGGGGGTCGATCCATTGTCCAGGTGGCAACAAGACCCCCCTGGAACAGTTCACTCGAGCGGCTGGTTTCAACTCACAGCCCCACAGCTCCTCGGCTTCCGAGGTGAACTTCGGAGCCTTCTCCTCCGGCTTCGGCGCCGGCGGGGGCTCCTGGCGTAGCGACGCGAGAGACGCGCGCGAGTGGCTCGGGAAGGCCATCCAAGTGGCAACCTGTCGGCACACCAATGGTTCTACCATTCACCAAGGAAGTGCCAACTTGCCGGCAACTCATGAGATTCTACCATATATGGTCAAAGTCTAAGTCCCGTTCTGTCCCGTTCAGCGGAGGGTGAAAGGGTTTATAACAGGGGGCGTGCCCCACACTTTGACTGACGTTGAGTAACCCCCCGTCCTTTTGCACAAGGGCGGTGCAAATCTTCGTTCTGGTGCCACTTGGGTTTAAGGTGTCCCCTGAGCTCAAAGAAGGGCCTGCTTCTTGGCATTTGCCCGAAAAGTTCTGTGTGGGAAACCCACATGTCCCCAAAAACCTTCAGGGTTGACAAATCCAAGCAAGTAAAGGACGGAAACTTGGTGCTCACTAGGCGGTGTGGGAATGAACCCATGCCATGAAATTTCCCTCACAGGAAACCAGCAGTTGGATGGTTCTTGGGGTCAAGCTATCGCACCAAGGGGATCAGGGCGGTTTCGGGGCATCGGGGTTTCGCTTCCTGTATGCCAAAGGCCGCCATGGCCGTCTTGTCCCCCGCCATCGCCGCGCCTGGGATACTTAGATGGGCCACGCGCAAAATGACTTGTTGTTACAAGGGTTTGGAAAAACATGGGGCCCATCCTGTTGGTGTCTGGCCGGGAGTTCAAGTATTTGGTATGTCTATGTGTATATACATATATATATATATGTGTGTGTGTAGCTCTGTGTGTGCGCAGTACAGGTGCACGTTAACAGTTTGAGGACTTTTCGCTCAGCTTCAGGAACGTAGAAATTAAGGAGGCTGTCGCCCCGTGGTCATGGGCAACAGTAGACGCCCCAAGTGTGACCAGTGGTGTTTCCGTGCGAGGCGTGCCCACACTATCCGCCCCATAGATTCCCAGTGTAAAACGGAATGCGGCTTCTTGCAACTTCAACCCGCACCTCGAGAATCTTTCTTGACTTTGGACGTTGCACTGTTGCTCCTGGTTGCCTAGGTCCTCCAGCAGAGAGGTTAAAATAAGGGTACCCTGTTTTCTGTAGTCTTTTTTTGTAGGGGAACCCTCCCCCCCCAAAAAAAAAGGGCAAAGGGCACCACTGGGGGACCTTGTTGCTGCCCCAGCTGCAAAGAAATGCCCTTGCCTACCACCCGATCCCTTCTTCCCCTTCTCGGCACCGAGCAGCCAGCTTCGCGCAGACCGCAACCCCCGGACCCGGAGTTTCGGGCGCCCCCGGCCCTTCGGGCCCTGCGCGATCTATCTGCGGGCAAAAGGCAGCGTTGCCGAGCGGAGCTCAAGCAAAGTAAGCCCTGGCCGATCGAAAACCAAATGCGACCTCCGGGGGGAAAAAAAGGTGAAAAAGCTGCTTGAGCCTGATTTCCAGCTGGAAGCCTTGATTGCCATATCAACTGGGAGCCTGGCCATGGCGAAAGCTGCGCTGAACATAGAAAAGCTCTGTGAACCAAACCATGTGCATCCGATTTATCCGAAATCGACCACTAGACTGCTGAAAGAAGGCGGCATGGGGCGGCTTTCCGCGTCGAGGCCTCTAAGTTGATTGTCGGATTGGCCTGGAGCTCTGACTCACTTAGAAACTCTCCTCTGCTCGGACAGGAAAATAGAGACTTGATCAAACCAAATCCAAACGGTTGCCGAGCAGTCTGCTCGGCAGTTGCCAGCTGAGGTCAGACATGGCCCGAAAGCCAAAACGGGTCTTCGGCCTGGCCCTTGTCTCCCTACATTCGCACAACAGCCATCACCTCCATTTGTTTTTTCGCCCCCTGGAAAACATTTCAAAAAAAAAAAAAAAAACAGAATGCCGACTAGTGAAACGGATTCCTTTTAACACCAACAGGGCAAAATAGCAAATCTTCTTGAGCAAATGAAACATGCAAAGATTCGCAAAACCGAAGCCGGACCCCAGCACAACAGTTCCTGGAACATTGGTGCTATCCACCGGATCCACTGGAGCCTGACATACGGGTGTGTTGCTATTGAAGCTGCCCCACTTTTAGCATTTTGGTGGGTCCCCCTTAGCATATGAGCCAGAAGCAAAGCCAAATATTTAAAAGCTTGATTCACTGATTGCCGACCAGTCTTTTACTAACCTTTATCACTCAAATGTCTGGCCGACAACCGTCCAAAAAAAAAAAAAAAACGAGGTCCAACTGCGCAGAGCCACAAATAACCAGAAAATGACCGTCCAAATGAACATGGAACCTAAAAAGTAAAACTCCCGCGCCTTTGCCGCCACCCTTGCCCTTGCTGAGCCCGGGCCCATCCTCGCGGTTTTCCGAGGAAAATGGCTGCCGCAGTCGCGGCAGGTCGGCGTCGCGAGTCGCGAGTCGCGAGTCGCGAAGTGGTCGCATGGGAAATGGATCGCAGGTGGAAAATGGGATAAGTGTCCTTCCACCTGTAAACCAACCGCGTTTTCGTGGTTTCGTGGACTCCACATAAAGAGCTGATACCCACTGCGGTGTCCTTTCAAGTGTCCCAGGAAGATCCCAAGCGCATCGGAAGCCATGGGGAACTGTGCGGCCCTAGTCATACCCATCGAAGAAGGCCGATCCCTGATTTCTTCGTGCCCTGAGAGCGACAGCTTCGCACAAGCAGAGGCCTACGTTAAAGGACGGAAACCCAAACTTTGCTTCCCCCCAGCAAGGCGCTTTCAGGGGTTCTGCTTTAAAGTCCGACCTTTCTCCCAGGTCCTGGGGTCTCCCAAGACAACCCCATCCAGCGAACTTCGTTCGTTGCAGCCCCCCACCCCCCCCAAAAAAAAAAAACAACGAGAAAAAAAACAGAAGAAGCCAGGCAAGTGAACGCATCAAGCAGGGTGCTTTTGCGACCTTCTTAGGGCGCCAGCTTGGCACAGCGCCGAGTAGGTTGCCATTTGTCATGAGACAATAGGCCCCTGGAAAGCAATAATGAATAATGAGGCCACTAAGCCTTAGTACAGCCATTTCAAATGGCCATACCTCAGAGGGGTCTTTGCGGCCTTGGTCTCACACAAGTCTCCAAACAAGTTGCGCCTAAAGAGAAATCGCCGCCATCCTTTGGCTTCCTCTGGAAAGCTTTAAAGACATGTCTGCCATTTAGCACCCAAAGAACAGTGGGTGGACGCAAATCCCCAGATAAATGATGCCAACGGGTTACCCACGTGTGCGCATTTTTGGCCCCCCCACAGGGGAGACAAACCCACGGCCGATTTTCTCAAAAGGCTCCTCCCTGAAGGGGTTGTGCAGCTCCCGCTCGGCGGCCTCGGATTTGGATTTTTGTCATTGGAAAGGATGTGTCCGGTCGCATCGTTTCAGGTCGAGGCCCATGAGTCGGGGCCACTTTGGAGCCTGGAGCCGTTACCCCAAGGTCCCTCTTTTTGGTCTGGAGCCCGGTTTGGAGGGTTCTGCTGCGGCCTTCCATTGGCCCACAGGGTGCTAAACAGGGGGCCCTGATTCCTGGCTGAAGATCGCATGCTTGGATGCCGGCTGCCATAGAACCAATAAAGTGTTGAAAGGGTAAAGCTGAAAGCAAAACCACCGGCTGTTTTTCTCAATCTCTTGCTGGCTTCCCAGTTCTCAGGGGAGCCCCCAGCTTGCTTCCATGCACCCCACCCCGTTCCGCAAGCCCCGAACAACCGGCAACCTACTGCCAACAACCACAAGACACGAACCAAGACAGGGTGCTGTCTGCCGTTTCCACACCGGGCCACCCGCCTTTTTGGGGCCAGGACAGTAACTTACGGCAAAATGGAGGTACAACCACTCAAAGCCCCCCACCAGCCCCCCGCCCCCCCCCCCAGCCCCTACCCCTGCCCCCCCCTGTCAGCCCCCGGCATCGATCCGCAGCTTGCGGCCTCAAGTTGCTTCGGGCGTCCAGCCCCCCACTTCTGCGTCTTGAAGCAGAAATCCGCCGGAAGGCCCAAGGCGTGGGCTTTCTTTTCCCCTTTTAAAGCCAAGTGCAAGTTTTTACCGGGCATGGTACTCCGCGAAGAAGGCGAAGAGAACTCCTTTCGGGACTGATGAGTGTGCTATTGTCTAGCTTGCCCAGGCAATGGGAGACCTAGATAGCCAGGACAACTGGAGCCGTACCTGTTGTGCAAGGGGACCGCAATCGAGCACCAACAAGAGAAACCACTGCCATCTGGCATGAGGATTGAACCATATTAAAAAAAAAAAAAAAAAGATTGAGGTTGAACGACCCAGCCTCTTGGGCTTCCTTTTGCTTTGCTCGGGGTTCCTGTCGACCCCAGAGCTCGGCTAGACAAGTTTCTCAAACGCCGCACCTCGGCCGCAGGTCGGGGAGCATGTTTATGCCATTGGCATTGAAGGCAAACCCGTTTTCAGGTCCTGTTCTTGGCCCAGATCTGGGGTACACCAGAAGACCTATGCTTCCAAATAACTGCAAATATCCCCAACAGCATGCGATGCTCTTTTTAGTGCTCGCACCACCCCGGAGCCCTCGCAGAACCTCGGGGAACCTTGCCTCAGGGCCGCCCCGGACCACCCCGGAACCTACCTGGGCTAAGAAACCAAAGCTTTCAGCTCTTGGGGAAAAATGACTAGTGTGCGTTTTCTGAGGAGGCCCTAGGTTTTGTAAACAGCCAGATTGGTTAAAGCAGTCATACTGCAGCGTTTCCACATCCAACTGCCCCGAGCTAGTCGGTCAATTCGTGACATCCGAAAAAATATGCAGATGGAGTTCTTCATTCTGTCCGCTTGCAATCAAAAGAATCTGCAAGACTGTAGGAAAGCTACAGCAAGGAGACCTCCGGAAGTAATTTTGAGAACCCCTCAAAGCGGTACCCAGTTGTTCAGTGACCCTGGTAGAAGAAGGGACCTTTTTTTGGTTAACTATGTTTAGTTGGGAAGCCATCAAAAAAAAGTGTTGTCACTGAACAACCGGGTGTTCACGTTGAAGCGCCCAGTGCTACTTGACAATCTCCTCCAGCGGCGACGAAACGCTCAACTCCAAGTGAGGCTGGGGCAAACCCTGGCCACCCTTCTCCAAGGAGCCAGTCTCTAACTTGGTTGCCCAGTTTGGGCCCAGAAATAAAAGGTGAACCTAGAAAGCCAAAGGTCGCTTCTGGTCGATTCGATGACTGATCTATGTTCGAGACGAAGGTTGGGTTAACCCCTGGAGAAAGAACCAGTCAGTTTCGCGAAGATTTCCAATGTGGATTGGATCCGAAAAAGCCCGGCAAACTAGTAGAGAGGTTAGAATAAGTTGGTACCATTTTTTTTTTAGGTAGTCAAAATTTTAGTAGGGGAACCCTTCCAACCAAAAAAGAAGCGGTAAAAGTTGGCACCTAGTTGGGGGACCTAGCCAACTAATCAGGAAACCCCCGAGTTGGTGGTTTGCATGGTTTGGGGCTTGAACCCCTGGTTCTTGTAGTGAGTAGAAGGAACACCACCCCTGAAAAACCACCGTTCGGCTCTTGTTCGGGGCCTTTATTGGGGGGACACCAAGACTTGGTCAACTGGCCGTTGTACTCCACGTGGTTCAGCTTGTCCACCGCAGCCTGCGGTGAAGCTTCAGGTCTCAACCAGGCGGTCAAATGTTCACCCCAACCAGAAACTCTTGTTCATAAGACTCAGAACCTCAAATTGTTAAATGGGTGTGGTGTGGCGGCCCCCCAAAGTGGTGGTTGTAAAGTACCCTCACATAAGCTCCCCCCGCACGCCAGGAACATGAAGTGAGACTCCCACCCGCCACAAGAGAGAAACCCACATTTTCTTCCGGACAACCCAGCCCCACCTCGCCTGAACCGAGGCGGGGTCCGCGAAGTCCGCAAAGGCGTAACCCTTGGGCTGCTTCGTGTCCTGCAGCCCGTTTTTTTTTTCCCCCCCTTTTTGTTTCTGGGGGGCGGGAGTTGGAGGGGTCACTCGCAAAAACAAGGCGCCGGCGCCCGAACCGCCCCCTGTGGTTTCGCAGGCGTGTCCACACCTTCTGTTTTTGTAAATGATGATTTCGCCTCAGCAAAACGCAAATTGATATCCAAACTCAGCAACATAAGTGTGCTGAAACCCTCACGACGGTGTTCGCTTCTTTCACGTTTTGTGCGTTTCGCTGAGGCGAAATCACAATTCACACACTCGTTCCTCGGCAAAGCCAAGATTCACACCGTATTTTTCTCCCAGACCTTCTTCGTCAGATCCCAACTGGCTACTGCGCCTTTCGGCACAAATCGCCGAGGCGATCAAACACGGGACGCTTCTGGTTGGCGCGCCGCCACTGGTATGCTCGGAGATACTCCAGCCACACAGGATCCGGTGTGCTTATCACGTGCGTGACGACAAAGCATTGCCGCGCGCGTGCGGTCGAGCGGGTGTGCTTATCATGTGCGTGACGACAATGACAAAGCATTGCTGCGCGCGTGCAGTCGAGCGGGTGTGCTTATCACGTGCGTGACGACAAAGCATTGCCGCGCGCGTGCGGTCGAGCGGGTGCGCTTATCATGTGCGTGACGACAAAGCATTGCTGCGCGCGTGCGGTCGAGCGGGTGTGCTTATCATGTGCGTGACGACAAAGCATTGCCGCACGCGTGCGGTCGAGCGGGTGTGCTTATCATGTGCGTGACGAAAAAAGCACTGCTGCGCGCGTGCGGTCGAGCGGGTGTGCTTATCATGTGCGTGACGACAATGACAAAGCATTGCTGCGCGCGTGCAGTCGAGCGGGTGTGCTTATCATGTGCGTGACGAAAAAGCATTGCTGCGCGCGTGCGGTCGAGCGGGTGTGCTTCTCATGTGCGTGACGACAAAGCATTGCTGCGCGCGTGCGGTCGGGCGGGCGCGCTTACCAACATCGGCGAGAGGCGCGTGGCGATTTGAGGGGCCGGCGCCTGACTCCACAAAGCTGTTGACAGCAAAAAAACATATAAGCACAGGGGGCGGTTCAGGCGCCGGCACCAAAAACACTGTCACTCGTGAACAACCCCCACAATTGGGGGGCCCACCCCCCCCCGCAGCGCTGCACAATATGGTTTACTTGTGGGGGTCGGGGTTCATTGTGGCCCGACTGATTCAGAGCCATAGTAAGTGGGGCCAGGGCAAGGTCATGTGCCTTGGTTCTCCTTGATGGCCACTAGTCACTGCGCTCCAATGATTCCCCACAAATGGCGAATGAACCTATGACGCTACACCACTGCCATTCAAAGGCAGATGTTGTATACGTAAATTTTTTGAACACCCTAGCGGCATGCACACGACTCGCAATACGTACTGCATATCCCAATATAATTGCACGACTGTGCATACTTGCTTCTGTATGTTTATACACATGTACTTGAATATGTGTATATATGGTGGTTGTTCTAAATTCCTTTGTCTCGAAACGGCCATTCTTCGCGAATAAAAAAGTTACTTTCGCGAATCTTTCGCGGATTCATCGCCGTGCCGTTTTCATTGCTCAAGTCAGACAATCGCAGCTTTTAAGTGCCAGCGTAGTGCGCGAAAAAATGCGATTCCCCAACTCCAGCTGTAAAGTCGCAACTTTTCATCACAGGGGTAGTACATGACATGAACCGGCTGGAAAGTCGCAGCTTTTCGTAAGCCGTGCAGCTCTAGCTTAAAGTCGCAAGTTTCCAGTACCAAGCTAGTATACTGACTAGCGCGACGCTCAGAAAGTGCCTCCCCTTGCAATCGAAGCCTGCGCTTTCGCGCGGGCTTTCGCGGATCTCTCGCGGAACTTTCGCGAAAAATCACCCACGTTTCAGAGCGGAAAGCCACCGACCAAACACCCACAGACGCACATACACAGGCTTGGAGCACTGACCAGCCAAGCAGGGTATCAAACTGTAGCCTCACCTGGCTTTATCACTTTACCAGTGCAAAGTCAACAAAGTGCCTTAATCAGCTTAGAAGGAAGGCTCAGCAGCAAAGATAAATGGCTTCACATATCATTGATTTACAAGATACAGTTACGCAAAACTTTCGCGAGCAAAAAAGTTACTTTCGCAACTCCATCGCGAATCTTTCGCGGAGCTACCTCAACCAACACCGATGGTCGCCGAATTCTAAACTCCTTGCAAGGACCTTTAGAACGACTCCCATATATATATGGTACCCCCCATGGACCCGTTTGTTGCGCTTGACATGTATTTTCCAGTGTTGTTTTGCCTTGTGTGCTTCTTGGATTTTGACAAAATGAGGGGGCCATATGTATACATGATCATGTATACATGCATACAGATGTGTTTGAAGCAACGACATCAGCATCTGCAATCTGAAAGAGTTTGAATGAATCCAAGAGTAGAAGAACACCTCAGATTATTGAGAAAAAACGAATTTCTAGATTCAAGATTCAAGAACCTGAGAAAATATTTTCTGGGAATCTTACCTAGGGTGGGACAGGGTGGGGTCAAACAGCTATTTTGGATCATCCTTGAGCCAAAAGGCCCCCGAATGATCCAATTCAATCCTTGAAGAATGAAACCTGCAAACCCTAGCCTTCCAAGACCTGATGCAGGGGCACACCCCAAGGAGAATTCAAACCGACAGCCCGCCAGAGTTTTTTCACACTCTCGGTCGCAGCTATGTCGTAACGTGGGATTTGCGTTGGGATCCACAGCCGGTTCCTCCGTACTGTGGCCCAGCCACCTTGGCCGATGTCCTCAGCCGTTAGGGTTTTACCCCCGGAAGTGTGGTCAGGATACTATGCAGTTATCCTGCAGTACCTCTCAAGGCACGTTGAAACATCCCAAGGCACTCACAGGAATTCAGCAAAGGTTATGACTGCGCGCTACGGGAGCTTCAGTAGAGCAGGACGAAAATGGCTGTAGCTGATCGCATCAGCCTAATTGGATTTGGGGGTGTTCTTTCACAAGGGCTGGATATGGGTGGCCATCCGGGAAAGGTCGGGGGTGTCGCTCCGGCCCCTGACCAGGCACATGAGGCTGCCAATGTTGTCGATGAACCGCCTACCGCGGAACTGCTCTGCACACACTGTAATGGACTGCTGCCACCACTCGTGGAACGTGCGTCGGGAGGACCAAGAGCTCCCTGCCAGGCTTCATACTCGAAGGCTGCAAGCAACGCCGCACCCGCGCCGTACTGATCAAACCTATGCGACCAAAAAGGCGGTGCTCCAAAAAGTTGACCTGAACAAACTCTTCACCAATTCAATCCTTGAAGAATGAAACCTGCAAACCCTAGCCTTCCAAGACCTGATGCAGGGATAGACACAGCTTCCAGGGTTGTTCCAACACTCTCGGTGATAAGATTCTCGGAAAGGTTTTCTGTGAAATACTTCGATCTCGAATCTTCAATCCAGTGGTAAAAGAACAACTTGAATCTTTTTAGGGGTGACCCGGATGGATGATTCTCAGGAAAGTTGTTGTTCGCGCACTCCTCAATCCAGTGGTAAAGCAGAAGAACTTGAATGTTGTTTGGGTTTGGACAGGATTGACAATTCTCAGGAAAGTCTTCTGTGTAATCTTCAATCTTAAGTTATTAGTTGGACAAACTTTCAAGTGCTTTTCGTGAGCTTTATGTCAGCTATGCTCATGTTGACCCTTTTCCAGGAGGTGGACAAAGGTAGGTGTAATGCTCAAAAACATTGTATGTTCCAGCATTTTATGAAGTGGCTCAGGATCATTAGGGGTACTATATATATATGTGTGCGTGTGTATGTATGTGTATATCTATGTATATATACATATACATATGTATGTTCAAACACCATGCCCCCCGTCTTGAACTACCTGTCCACATTTGCTCATTTACTACCTCCACCTTTTGAGATAGAATGAACTTTGTCCCCTGTGCAAATAGCACTGTAAATACAACTGGTTTAGGTAGAACCCCTGCTTGGAGATAGCTTTAGAATCTGCACCTCTCTTCCCTTGAAAGCTCCCTTTGGAACATTGTCGAACAAGTCGGACCTTTCTTATGCTACAAAAGGTCCAGAATGTAAATAACACAAAGTGTATATTGATTTGCGTTGTAGAAGTCCCTCAAACGTGTAGCCATGTTTAATGAGAACAATATTTGAAAAGTAGTATCTATTTAATTAAATTGTTATTGTCAAAAGCTACTTGAATTGTTCGTATTACATATTTACCACTTAGATTATATCTGGGAATAAACTCCTATCTAACTAACTTCTTTTGTTAAAGATTAGTTGGAGTCTACCCGAAACTAGAATTACATTTTCATGTAGCTCCTATTCGGAAAGGATTTGCTTATTTAAGCTATAACTTAACATAAACACTCTAGGAAACGGTTTGGGTGCGCTCTTTGTGCATTTCACCTGTTCTCCCCCCTGTAGGTTCTTTTTTTGTACTCTTTTAGTACTCTTTTGATATCCTACTTTCTGGATCCACAAAAACCGCATCCAATCCGTTTCCCAGAAACACATGATTGAAAACTATATCCTTACCAAGCGGCATTGAAAATTCCAATTCTAGTTGTTGAATAAAACCCTATTTGGAAAGGGTATCATATTGGGACGCTACGCAGGACTCCAAGCTCCAAATTATCTGGCCTTGGGGACCCACAAATGGAAATTTCAACAATAGACCAGTTGAGATTTTAGACTTGCCATCCCCCAAAAGGCAGTAAAACCAGGGTCATTGGGTCATTGGGGGGGGGTAGCAGATGTATACATATATACACATACGAAAATATAGGTACATGGCATGTCTATCAGCGGGAAGCGGGAAACATACACAATATACACACATACATATATACACACACACACATATATATATATATGAGGAGCAAACGAAACACTTTACTTGGCGCTAGTACTTTTTTGAACGTTATCGATTTTGGGGGAGACCTTATCGTTTTACAGTGTTTTCGACCTTTGGCAGATCCGGCTCGAGAATCGCAACTTTGTAGTACAAGTCTAGTACGAGAAGTACACTTCCGCATCTCCAGCTCGAAAATCGAAACTTTGTAGTGGAAGTCTAGTATGCGAAGTACACTTCCGCAGCTCCAGCTCGAAAATCGCAACTTTGTAGTGCAAGTCTAGTACGCGAAGTACACTTCCGCAGCTCCAGCTCGAAAATCGCAACTTTGTAGCACTAGTCTAGTACGCGAAGTACACTTCCGCATCTCCAGCCCGAAATTCGCAACTTTGTAGTACAAGTCTAGTACACGACGTACACTTCCGCAGCTCCAGCTCGAAATTCGCAACTTTGTAGTACAAGTCTAGTACGCGAAATACACTTGCGCAGCTCCAGCTCGAAAATCGCAACTTTGTAGTACAAGTCTAGTACGCCAAGCTTCCGCATCTCCAGCTCGAAAATCGCAACTTTGTAGTACAAGTCTAGTACGCCAAGTACACTTCCGCAGCTCCAGCTCGAAAATCGCAACTTTGTAGTACCAGTGTAGTAAGCGAAGTACACTTCCGCATCTCCAGCTCGAAAATCGCAACTTTGTAGTACAAGTCTAGTGCGAGAAGTACACTTCCGCATCTCCAGCTCGAAAATCGCAACTTTGTAGTGCAAGTCTAGTACGCGAAGTACACTTCCGCATCTCCAGCTCGAAAATCGCAACTTTGTAGTACCAGTCTAGTAAGCGAAGTACACTTCCGCAGCTCCAGCTCGAAAATCGCAACTTTGTAGTACAAGTCTAGTACGCGAAGTACACATCCGCAGCTCCAGCTCGAAACTCGAAACTTTGTAGTACAAGTCTAGTGCGCGAAGTACGCTTCCGCATCTCCAGCTCGAAAATCGCAACTTTGTAGTACAAGTCTAGTACGCGAAGTACACTTCCACATCTCCAGCTCGAAAATCGCAACTTTGTCGTACAAGTCTAGTACGCGAGGTACACTTCCGCATCTCCAGCTCGAAAATCGCAACTTTGTAGCACAAGTGTAGCACGCGAAGTACACTTGCGCAGCTCCAGCTCGAAAATCGCAACTTTGTAGTACAAGTCTAGTACGCGAAGTACACTTCCGCATCTCCAGCTCGAATATCGAAACTTTGTAGTACAAGTCTGGTACGCAAAGTACACTTCCGCAGCTCCAGGTCGAGAATCGCAACTTTGTAGTACAAGTCTAAGTACACTTCCGCATCTCCAGCTCGAAAATCGAAACTTTGTAGTACAAGTCTAGTACACGACGTACACTTGCGGCTCCAGCTCGAAAATCGCAACTTTGTAGTACAAGTCTAGTACGCGAAGTACACTTCCGCAGCTCCAGCTCGAAAATCGCAACTTTGTAGTACAAGTCTAGTACGCGAAGTACACTTCCGCAGCTCCAGCTCGAAAATCGCAACTTTGTAGTACAAGTCTAGTACGCGAAGTACACTTCCGCAGCTCCAGCTCGAAAATCGCAACTTTGTAGTACAAGTCTAGTACGCGAAGTACACTTCCGCATCTCCAGCTCGAAAATCGCAACTTTGTAGTGCAAGTCTAGTACGCGAAGTACACTTCCGCATCTCCAGCTTGAAAATCGCAACTTTGTAGTACCAGTCTAGTAAGCGAAGTACACTTCCGCATCTCCAGCTCGAAAATCGCAACTTTGTAGTACAAGTCTTGTACGAGAAGTACACTTCCGCATCTCCAGCTCGAAAATCGCAACTTTGTAGTGCAAATCTAGTACGCGAAGTACACTTCCGCAGCTCCAGCTCGAAAATCGGAACTTCTCAGTACAAGTGTCGTATTTAGGAAGCACACCTTGGCAGCTCCAGCTCGAAAGTGGCGACTCGCCTTCTCGTTTTACGGTGGCCACGCAAGGGTCCCACCCTAGCTAAGTTGCAACTGCAGGGGTTATTATAGAGCCGTGTGTTAGCTAAGGGTTATCGCCTTGATAAAGTGGTCTTCGTGTGTTTTGTCCGTGGCTCATATATATATATATATACACATCGACATAAACATCTACGCGTTTTACTCCCCCCCCCTCCCCCCCGCCCACCCTTCCCCGCCCCGGTCCTTGTCCAGGACCAGGCGGATGGAGGTGACATTCCCCACCTTGCCAAACAGCTCCTTCAGCTCCTCCTCCACCGCCTCAAGCGCGAGCCGCGCGAGCCGCTCGAGCCCCACCACCCGGGCACATGGGACGGCTTTGTTTTTTCCGAAGACCCTCCGTTTTATTTGGCGGTCTTCCGTTTATGCGCCCCCTTGGAGAAAAACACACACACACACACACCCCCAAAAGGGGGTGTTAAGAAAAGACGAAGGCCATTTTGGGCTGGTGTTGTGGGCCTGAAAATTAGCACGAAGTAAGATGAGCTCGGCTTGGTGCTGCGAATCCGAGCCTTTGCAGACCGAGCTGGCTGACCCAGGCCAGGACCTATGTCCAACATATCCCATGGTTCACCAGCCGAACGGGTTGGTGATATCGGCGCGATACGAAAAAGCCCCCCGTCCGGCCCAAGAGTCCTGACAACCTTCTTGGTGAAACCTGGTTGGGAAAACTGCCTCAGGCCTACGGAGACAGCTGCACCACCCGAAAAAGCCGCACACCGGTCCGAGTGCGAATGCCAAGGCCCGAGCATCATAGGGCACATTGCCCACGAAGATCGAGCAGCTCGCGCCTGCGCCGCTGAAGTAGACGCAGCTCAGGGAAATCGGCCGAATTTCCCGTTGGCAAATTCCCTAGTGAACTGGTGAACATCCCAGAAGTCCTGCAAGAGATTCAGAAGATCCCTGAAACATGCACCAACCACCGCAACTGACACGCAGGCTGTCAACGCAATATGCCTGAATTGCAAATGAACAGAACAAAGACGTACCTGAATTGCAAATGAAGACAACCAGGCCAGATTTGGAGTGGCCAACACTGTAGGCGACAACGTCGGCAGTATCGCAATGCTGACAGCTCAGGTGCTCCCAGTTGTTCGTCAGGGCTGGGAGTTGAGGTCAATGCTGGCGTGTTGCTTCTCCTTGAATATGTTGCGATTTGCAGGCCGTCTCACCGAAGCACAAATCTATTTTGTCTAGCCTTCGTCTGATCCCCCCACAACAAAGGAAAATGGAAGCCAACATGGAATGGCAGGGGGCACACACGGAATGGCAGGGGGCACCCCCCCTCCCAAATTCCACTTTGGTCCAAAAATATGATCTTTTTCTTTCTTGGCTTCTTGTTGGACCAACCTGAAACGTGTATCGTTGCCCCTGCCCCCCCCCCCCCCCCAATTTCTCTGAGGCCCCAAACTCATGGAGGCCGGCACCCGGCTCAGCGCCATGGCCGCGCATGCGACGGGTTGCGTGCGAAGCCCTGGATTCGAGGTTCTCCGGTCGTAGGGGGTTTGGGGTGAAACATGAGGGCGCCTCAAAACAAAGGAGCTAGGGCTTTTGTTATTTGTAGTCTTTGGTCCCATTTAGCCAGTTGGCACATTTGTTTTGAATCAAGTAGGCTTGCTCGGGTTGATAGGCGTGGTCTCCAAATTTGGGAGGGAACCCCACAACATCAGAGACCGGTTTCTTGGTCAAATTCAATCCTAAACCTACGAATTGTTGCCTTTTCTACGAGCCGGTGGCAAAAACGAAAGCGGCGGAGGCGGCTTGGAGGGCCTCCTGAACAAAACGTCCGCGTCAAACATCGCTCCAAGAGAAACTTAGTTAACCTTTCCCAAAAGGAAACATCACCCTTGGAGAAACATCACTTCAATTCTTAACAGCGCAGCGGCGAAGCCACGCTTTGCGCCATTCCAAGCTACACTCCAAAAAACAGAAAACCACATAACCGCTTTGGACTGACCTGCGAACAAGAAAGAAAGAAGTGCCGGCAAGCATGGAGCCAGTCTTTGATAGAACGTTCTCTGCCCGAAAAGACCCTTTGCAATGAGCAACCCGTTGCCTGCGATGCAAACACGGAAGGCGCAGGTTAGCTATCTCAGTTGTTCAAATCATCCTTTTGCACTTTTGGGTTTCCCTTCTTGGTTCGATGGCCAAGGTTCCCACATCGGCTCCGTCTGCCCTAGTGAGCTTTGGAATCCCTAAGCGACCTACGTCGCAGGCCCCGATCAAATAAGCTCAGGTGACATCCCCAACAGCACGCGGTGCTCTTTTTAGTGCTCACACCACCCCGCAGCCCTCACAAAAGCTTGTGTGGAACCCTTGTGGAACCTTACCTCAATCCGGCCCGAAACCACCCACAACCTATCTGGGCTGAGACCCCAAAGCTTTCAGCTGTTGAGGAAAAAGGAAAACATCTCTTTCACACGTCCTGGCAGCAAGCCCAATTCGCGCCAAATTGGCGAGGCATCCTCGGGAACCGCATGTTGGTTTGCCAAGCTGCTCTACATCCAGGGCTCTCTTTTTGCGATTTGTCTTGGGACAAGTCCGGAGCACCGATCCCAACAGTCAACCTCAACTTTGATTTTCTACTCCATGCATTCCAACTTCTGGGCATGGGGCCGCGCAGGCGCTCTCGTTTTCCACACGAGTACCACGCGCATGCCCTTTGGCGCGCCAAAGCCCCGCGTCAGTAGAACCAAGTGGTCACGGCCTAGGGAGGGCTTTTGAACCAGGAGCCGGGGAGGCAGCCGTGTACGCAGTAGGTTTGGGCCGGCCCTTGGTGGGCCAAGCAACTTGGACACGACGCCCGCGCAAGCGGCCCAGGCACGTGTTGGCTTTTTGCACGGACGCTTCTTCCAGCCCTTAAGTAACACCCTCGGAGGGAGCGCGTGCTAGGAACGCGTTGAAACAACGGAAACCTGCTTCCGCTGACGCAGCACGCAAGTTGTTCGACGCGACTGGCGTGGCCCGGATCAAGTTGCTGCGGTCGCTCTGGGACAGGCATGGCAAGTTGCCGGGGCTGAGCAAGGGATGGTTCGACTCGCGTGGTGTAGCATACGGGCTGCGTCTAGAATGGCAACGTGCCTGCGTTGCTGTGGTATGAGAGCGTTGCCTGGCAACAAGGCTTCGATGCGCAAGCCTGTGAGAAGTTGGCTGGACGTGAGTTAAGTTCAAACCAATAAACTGCTTATGCAAAAGAAGCTCGCCAGAATGGTGTGCTTTTCTTTAACACAGCCCCGCCTATGGCTTTTCAACAATGGAAGTGGACTGTGGGCCTTTTCTGGAGGGCGGTTGTCCTCTCTGGCTCCATGATTCTTGGAAAGAGGGATCAATACTCATAGGATGCTATTCCCCCCCCCCCCCCCAAGCTCCCCCCCCAAATCCTGAGATCCAAATTAGCTTAATCGGGGTCCAGCCCCAAACAGCTGCCCAGAAGACATTGATTTTGCAAGTCCTTAGTCCTAAGCCTAGCATGTTAAGGGTTCTAGGCGCAAATCTTGTGTAGGAGAGACCCTTACTATGACCCTATTAAGCTTTCATCGCCCGAACTGTGTGATTTTTGCCAGCAAACCAAGATTAGCTTAATTGGGGTCCAGCCCAAAAACAGCTGTCAGAAAACACTGATTTTGCAGTTCCTTAATCCTAGCATGTTAAGGGTTACAGGCCCAAATCTTGAGTAGGAGAGACTGAAAGAACCGCCAGCTTAGTACTCTCACAGCAGCGCCCGAGCAAAAGGCGGGGGTGTGCGCCTGTCCCAAGCCATGAAATTGCGTGGATGTGTTTGACGCCTGTTGCTTTGCCGGTGTGTTTCAAACCGGCTATGCTGCAGCTTGTGCGCTGCCTGTGTGAAACACAGCGTCCAGACATGTTTTTGAAACCAAAACCCTTATTAAGACAATGTGTCCTTGGGTGACAAGGATTTCCACTGATGCCCCCGAAGCCTTATTAGTGCCAAAACAAGGATTGCAGCCTCGGCCACCCCGTGAAAGAGTTTGCCACACGACACCTAAGACCCTTTTTAAGGCATTGTTAAGGAACTCGTTCCCGCAACTGCAACTGGTGACATGTGTGACTGCAAAACCCCGAATAAGGTCATGTGTGTTTCAAGAAAAAACAATTTAGTGCTCTAATGAGCCGCTAGTAACGGCTTAATAAGGGTTTTTGTTGGACCCCTAATAAGGCCCTAATCACGCACTAATAATGCTCATTCAGGTCTTATTCTGGAACTCAAGATTTGGGGGGGGCTTTGGGGGGGGATAGCATCCTGTGAAATACGACTTCAAGCGACCCCCTAGCGTATTCAGCCCAAGCCTCTAATCTAAGCATTCTCTCTCAACAGTCTCGGCCTTGGTTGCTAAGAACACTCACTTGCTATCCTCTCGTCTCGCAGTCCTACTGTGCTAGCGCAGCAAGAAACACAGCCACCATACTTTCTTGTCTGGAGTTGCGCAAAGGCCACACCGTGGAAGGACAAAATGCACTTCACACCAGTTGGGACAGACAAAATCCCAACTGCAAGCTGGGGTAAGTCACCTACCAACTGGCGCGATCTTGTCCATCACAGCAGGCACCTCACTTGGACTTGGGTCAAAAGGTGATGCTTCAAACCACGCAAGGACACTTCTTTGGGGAAACCCCGGCCCAAGTCATTTGGACACATCTCCTCTTGGCCCCTGGCGACTCGCTCCGCCTGAGCCGGCAGCACCTCGCTGAGGGTAGACACCATTTCGCTGGGGGGTCATTCGGTCATGTCCAACCACTTCAGTCCATGTGGGAAATGGAATCCACGAATCTGTGAGACAAGGGCCAAACCCCAAAGACCAAACCCCCATGTAAAGAAGGGATTCCGATGCATCGCGAAAGTGAGGAGAAACCCCCGTGATTCCTCAACCTTGCTTCAGCTCAGTGTTTCCAACTCTTCCAAAATCAGGTTATAGGCGCGCCTCAGTCGATGGGCATTCCAACAAGATCCAACAAGATCCGAACTTTCAGCTTGCCAAAACGTGATTCTTGAAAAATGTAAGGTCTAGAAACTTGGGCGTGCAGCTGGTGCAAAACCAGGGTGAACCGTTTGAACCTTTGCCAATCCTGATCCCAAAAAATCCTGCTGCTGCAACACTGCAAGTAGACACTTTGAAACCAAACGCGCCAGGGCCCTGCATCATGCGACTGTTCTCGCCACGAATGGTATTTCTCCAGTTTCCGCTGGAGTTTGGAGGTGCCCCCCTTTTTTTTTAGGGAATGGTCCTACGGCCTTTCCCGTGGCTGATTCCTGAAAAAGGGCGCAGGCAAAAAGAGAAACCCTGTAGCGCACCATTGCGTTTTCTTGGTTGAGCCGCCTGTTTTTCAATTGTCTGATGCGTTGGCATCAAGATGCAAGCACTGGGCGACTGACAACGGTCTCCCACCATCGCTGTCTGCCTTATGCTTGTCAGCACGGCATCCAGCAAGCACTGCACAACTGACTGATGGCCCTGCCCTGCAGCAATCTACCTTGCCTTTGTCAGCGCCAGAATCCAGCCAGCACTGGACAACTGCAAGTGCCCTCCAGCAACATGCAACGAAGTGGTGCCCTTGTGCGTTACCTCCCCCTTGTCGTCACAAGCACTGTACAACTGCCTGATAGCCCTCCTGTCCAGCAATATGCAATAATGTTCTACCAAAAGTGTCTGCCGCGTCTTTGTCAGCACCAGCATAAAGGAAACACTGTACAATTGCCTGATGTCCTTGCCCCGCTGCAAGTTGTAGTGGCACATCGCCATTCTTATTCGAATTGTCGTGGTCAGCACCGGCTTTCAGCAGGCGCTGCACAACTGCCTGGTGGCCCTGCTCGCGGCGAAATGCAAGCCACGCCACTGTCAGTTGCCTTCTCTTTGTCAACACCTGCATCCACCAAGTGTTGTACAACTTCCAGATGGCCCTTTGCAGAAGCATTCTGCAAAGGTGTCACCTGGGTGTATCCGTCAGCAGTGGGATCGTGGTTCTTCAACAGCTCTAGCATATGTTCTGCGTCGCCTCGTTTCGACGCTTGCAACAAGTCACCCCCTGCTTCAGCATCTTCGGCTGCTGCACAATGGCCGTCCAGGCACTCAGCACCGTCCCACTTACTTTCTGGCCCTTGTCTCCACTGGCCAGCTCGAGCCGCCTGAAATCCTGGCCAGACGGGAAAACAAGGAGACCATTTGGTGGGCAAACTGGCAATGGGCACCCAAAGACAAGAGGAAAACCCAGCTCCCAATAAAAAAAAACCTAGGAGTCTCTTGGCCAGGTCGCGCCGCGAAGAAATCGAACAAAAACGGCTCCGTCTTCGTGTCCACTGAATATTCCGCCAGCATCACCTCCGTGCCATCTAGTGAACGCACACCATGAGTGAATTCGAGGAAAACCTGTGCTTGAGCTGAAGGCGCCTGCATGTCAGCAAGCGAGCGAGCGTGTCAGCCAAAAC